GCTACGGCGATCGATAATGCCTCAATTTCACATGGGATCCATGTCGGTTGGCGACTCCTTAGGTTAGCGCTAAAAAAACCGGCGACCCTTTGCTTTCCACTCCTTGTCACATAGAGGGTAGCGCCTATACCATAATCCTTAACAGCACCATCTGTTATGATCCACAAAACGTCATCCGGACGCGGTAGAACAATTGTTTTACTAGTGTTCAATGCGGATTGAGCGCGTTCAAAAACTTGAGGTGATCAGACCAAACAAGTTTTTCATTCGATTGTCTACCAGCGGACAGTTCATCAAGGGGTCCAATCAATGCAGCACACCCTGATATAACGCGGGCCAGGACCTTATAGGCACCGACGTATACCCCGTACGGTTTCGGGAAGAGAACATGTCGCAAGTGTCGATACTCTGTGAGTGCTCGCGCGAATACTACCTTGATCCCAGATCCATCCTAGTAATGAAACTGATTTTGGACAAACAGTGTTTTTTTTCGATCGTTTTTGTGCAAAGCTGCTAGTACCCTTGACCAGTTATCGTACAACTCTTCAATTGTGTCGCCGCCGCAGTAAAGATCGTCGGCAAGTCTCGCGACGCGACCTTCTTCGGTTAGTTGACCCAATACTCTACACATCATTCAACCTGAACCTGATCGGAAAAGGGGGTTTCCGGGATTTCGGTTGCTCTATAATTCATAGTCTGAACATTCAAGGAAGGACCTGTGGACTCATTTGGGATCATCACTCTTTGGACCTGACAAAAATGTTCATTTTTCTTTAGGATCTTAGGAGAGGAAGACATATTGGGAATCCTGATTTTTCCGGAAACAACTTGCAATAGATCGGGCTGTGGCCAAATGTCAGAATAATTACTAAATATAACACGTGGTTCTAAGGCAATTTCCGGTTCGTCTATAATACCGTGGGGGATTTCAACTTCAATGAATTCCCCTGGCCAAATAGTGGTAGTGTGAGGTGGAGCGCGCAGTACGTGCGCTCTGCGAATAGTATGTTGACTCAAATTCTTTTGAATGCGTTGAGATAAGGTGATTGTCTTACTTGTACACGTAATGTTGTTGCCGGTTCCGAATGTGAAGGGCCAGTATTTTCTTCCTGAGGAAATTCAGAAGTATAGTCCACGACCTTCGTGATCTGTCTAGCTGTTGCCAAGAATTTACGATCTTGGTCGGGTAAGAATCGACACTCACTTAAAAAGTTATTAAAGTATGGTCGCTTAGCTTGCTGACATATAGGACAAACCTTAGTTGCTCGGTTAGGTTTGGTTGTGGTTCGCCCATTACTAGCCTTCGGATTGCCTCTAGAAAATAAAAACTGGTTACCTGTGCTTGTTCGCATAGTTCTGACATCCTCGCTGGTGTGGATCTCGAGAAGCAGAGATTCCAAAGCTTGGGAGATTTCAGGTTTTATGGAAGCAAGAGTGCGTGTTCTCAATTCCGTGCCATAACGTTGTTTCACAAGTTTGGGCAGGTCGTGGTGGATGAGTCTCAACCAACTTAGTACCACCAGATTTTCCAATGTTGGCGAGGCTTCTTCATCTTCGGTAACGTCGACACCATGATGTGTGATATTTCCACCTTGTCGTAGTAAGTTATCTTCAACAAAAGCTGATAGGCGTTGGTAAAGATCTTCTGCCTTTTCATCAGATTCTAAATGGATATCGTTAAAGTCAATAAAGTGAGCTCCAGTAGATTGGAAGCCATAATGTAAGCGAATTAACTGCCATATGTATTCAATAGATGTAGAATTTTTCACAATAGAATTGCGGGATATTATCGGGCAGTAATTTGCGATCTGTCCCAACATCAATTCTAACATGGTCACTTTTTGGTCTGCTGTTCTTCTTGATGCTTTGGGGATGCTGTTACCATCGTCGGTGAAACCTCTGCGGGGTGAATTTCTTGACCTCTTACCCCATGTCCTTCCGGCTACTAGAAAAGGGGCGAAATTGGTGTCTAGCGATAGCGAATACAGTAAATTTTGCCTCCAGTTTTCGAAGGAGTTGACTGTTTCGTTTTTTGATAAACACCACTGCTTCGGAGCCTTGTGAGAATTAGCCATGGCTGATTGTGAAATCTACTATAATTTAACGACCAAACCTTGAGTTTAATGTCCTTGGCAGTCTTGTTGATCGCAATATATGCGCCGCGTGTTCAGGGTTGTTCTCGTTGGTAGAAGGATGTTTCCGGCGATTCTTTCGGAGATGTAAGTTCGAAAGAAAACTCTGCCACCACGCCAGTTAGTTAGGACATAACCCGTTCCACGTTGATCAACAACAACTCAAGGTTAATAGTAAGACTTTATGTAGAAAACCATGACAAGACTTCAAGGTGTTAACAGGACAGTAGTCGGAAGACAGAATGGCTAGGTTTACTTGCTTTGTGCTACATTGCACGTGACTTAAAGAAGGCGAACTTGATTAGTGAAATACATCTTATGGCGTATTGTATAATGGTTTACAATGCATGATTTGCTATGTAATGTCTACTTTGGTTGAAGATTTACTACTGTTTACTTACTATATGTTGCCATAGTTTACCGATTTATCATTGACAAGCAAATTTGAAATATGCCAGAAAACTAAATTACCATTTTTTTTTTAATTAATTAAATAATTGTAGATATCTCTTTATTATTTTTTCTAAATTTAACTGTGAATTTGTACATAAACTTTTGTAATATACAGACCACCAAATAAATAATATTACTCATTGATTTGTCTCTATTATATGTGTTTATCAGTTATCCTTCTGCAGCAAATAAGACAATTGTCTGGCCAACTGAAAGAGATTGTAAAGAGGTTTTGTAAACTTTGTGTGTGTTTATCGCGGACAGCATCGATTTGCAACATTCCACTTTTCAGTCACACGTCGTGGGTCTTGCAATTTCACTTTTTATTTGGTCACAATCAGCGGCTTAAGCATGACGCGACGGCCACCCGAGCACCTCAGCCCCTCTTTCGGATTAAGAGGGCAATACTTCTAACGCGGTTTTGGCAATGCCGACGCAACATGAACAGCTGGAAGTGGTCAATTTTCAACTGCCCTTATTACTCCTAAGAATTAAAGTCCGATGTCTGGTTCGCCTGCAATTCGACAATGACCAGGTCTATTACCATTGAAACTAAGACTGAACGTCGCCTCCACCAGCCCGTAGCCAGCTTGAATGTTCGGGGTTGAGGATTATGGCCAGTAATACATCCAGAGGGGCAATGGGGTATGGATTTTATTTTAAGTCGGTTGTCAAGATTTTTTTTTCAGGGGGCAATCCATTTATATCTACGGACCTGGTTGAGGGCGACCATAGTCTTAGGTTGTAGGACTACACTTTTGGTAGGGTTTAGTGCATTGCATAGAAGTAGACCCTGGAATTTAATTCAGACAAGTTAGACACGCATGATTATAGGCTAACAATGGAGTTGACATTATTAATAACATAAAATATTGTATTACAAAAGCACACAGAAATTTGACACAATGGTTCGCTTGCGTGATCAGGTCGCTAACAATAATCTATTGATCTAAGAAGGTAAGTAAATATGTTTATTTTTACTTTCTATTTCAAGAATATAATACACCATAACAGGACAAGGAAGAAATAAACATTTCAAATCATTCCCAGTATAACTATATATCAAAGTTAATGTTCTTAGGTTAAATACAACACCAAGGATCCAAATCAAGATATCTGGTTAAAGGTAATCGTTGTTTTTACAAGAAAAAGCTAAGCGTGTTGTAACAAACAACCAAAGCGTTTATTTGGCTTAAATCTGTACAGTAGTTTTCTAACACGAACGAACTTTAAAAAGTTTACGTAAACCTTTTAAATAGTTTTGGTGTTAACGGCGGAAATTTTTATAGGAAAACTTACAGATAAATCCAGGGACACATTTCTATCTAAAGGTCCATACAAAGACTCTCGGAACATGTTGAGCTGTGGGTAGGCCTATAGTATCCCCAGATACACATTTTATCATAATTGTTTGTCGTCGAATCCCGACTTTCGCTGCCCGTCAATTAGAAATTCCTCTAAGGAGAGAATTAAAGTCTCCTTTTCTATGGGTGCTGGGGGTATTAATTTCCCAATATTCAGCATTCTTGCAAGGGAAATGTAGGCATGGAAAGCTTGAGGTCGTGCAACAGATGCTGATGGTGTAACTGACAAAATATTTGTGCCGACAGGTTTATTAGTAGAAATACCACTACAAGAAGGCATATTCCTATTATGTTCATTTGTTGTGTTCATGTCAGTCTGAGAAGATTCAACGAATCTGATGTGAAGTAATTTAAATGATTTGATCTGATCAATATTTGAGAAAGATGGCCCTCAATCTCCTGCCATGATATCACATTTGTAAGAAGATGGAATATCAAAATGTTTTTGACAATCAGCCTTAATGCTATCTAATGACATCTCCCCGTTAAATTCAACCATTGTGAGGGGACCAAGACGGCGATATTTTTGACATTTACCCTCAACATGTTCTGAGAGTCTTTGAACAGTTAAATATTCCAAGGTTTCGACATCACCAGTACCCTTGCCCTTTGCTTTGCCCCCCCCCCTTTCTACGTTTGGCAATTTGGGCCTTAAAATCTGTCCATTTTCGTTTAGACATATTTGCTCGGATTTAAGGCCTACCTGTGAGTTTGTGGTATTAATTATGGAGATTGAGATACTATTATATCTCAAAATCAAACTAAAGAAACCAAAACACCAAAACACTACATGTGGTGCTATTTCCGTTAAGGGGGAGGTTACTCGCAAGAGCACATTCAAGGGAAATAACTCCTGCTAACACTTGTATGCAATGACGTCATTGCTTGGATGATAGAAAGCGTGACTGGATAATCTGGACACTATGGCGCAGTAAATGAAGAAGAATTTTTTTTTAAAACGAAAATGAAAGTAAAAGTAAAATGATTTTAAAAAACAAAAAGAAAGTGAAAGTAAAATAAAAAGTGAAATGAAAGTAAAAGTAAAATTATTTTAAAAACAAAACGAAAGTGAAATAAAAAGTAAAATGATTTTAAAAACAAAACGAAAGTGAAATAAAAAGTGAAATAAAAAGTAAAAATGAAATGAAAGTAAAATGAATTTAAAAACAAAATGAAAGTAAAATAAAAAACGAAATGAAAGTAAAATAAAAATAAAAGTAAAATAAAAAACGAAATGAAAGTAAAACGAATTTAAAAACAAAATGAAAGTAAAATAAAAAACGAAATGAAAGTAAAATAAAAATAAAAGTAAAATAAAAAACGAAATGAAAGTAAAATGAATTTAAAATCAAATTAAAAGTGAAATAAAAATGAATTCAAATTAAAAAGAATATTTTTTTCATAAACAAAATAATAAAACAGCTATGGCACTCATGGGCCACCATACACCATAGTAAGGTAATCGAAATCATCAAATTCATAGTTTTCATCCAAACTCAAGTAATCTTTATCACTATAAGGATACATGATTCCTTCATCGTCCGGTGCTTTCCTCTTAACGAGATTCAGATAACTTCAGGTTTCTTAAATTCATTCGTCACATCATGTCCACTAGCTTATCGAATATAATCTTCTACAGCTATCTTATCATTAGAGTAACCCTTAAACGTTTTCTTTTCTTTTAGAATACCATCGGAAGTTAGAATAATATTATATTTAACTTTTGGCGCTAAATATAAACCAAATACGATTCCACCATCACCGTAATCATTCTTTCCTTTACAATAATCATTTTCGGACACCAACCCCGCTTCATTTAATTAATCCCAATTGCTAGACGAAATGTATAAACTATCAGTATCGGTATCGTATATTTCCGGCTTATAAAATCCATCTATGACGTGAATAAATTTATTCATTATTTTTTTACTGTGAGATAATACGAATGACCCCAAATGACTAGGTGTTAGTCGTGTAGATTTAGGAGGTGTACAGTCAAATTCTTTTTCTTCTTCATTTATCTCAACGATATATTGAGTCTCATTTACTTTAGGAAAGCTTTTGACGTGTGAATCGAAGTTGGCTTTTAAAGTCGCTTCACTCCATAGATGTCTCGATGTAGTTATATCCTTCTGAATAGATTTACCATACAATGAATTACCTAATAATTTCATACAATTACTACCTACGATATTACCTTCTCGTTTATATTTATTTCTCAAAATTAAAATATAATCTCTATAGGGTGGAGTTTTAAAATTTTCTTCGTGTACTATACCATCTAATATTTTAATACTTCGTCCACCGGCTTTAACTATTTCTTGGATATCGACCGATGTTAAAACTTCTGAACAGAAACCATTTCTGAACCTGATTTTAGTGCCAGTTTCCTTATTACCTTCTTTGTTCGTAAAAGTAATTTTATCTTTAGCTGGTATGGGTTGGAAGAACATCTTGGTTCTAGGTCTGAATTTCTGCTAATTAAAGAGCTTAACAAATTCTTTATTTTCTTCCGGTAGAAACGGTCTACCACTTTCCTCTCTCGTATATTCGCTATCTAAATCCGACATGGCGGAAGCGTACAAACCGTTAGCATCAAAGGCCATTAGTTTAGTACATTTTATTTTTTTAAGTCTCGAATGAACCTCCGTTTTATCTTTTTTACTTTTACTATATTCTTAAAATAAATCAATTATATTATTTCTTGGTGTTTCACTAAACTCCTTTAATACATTACAAATTTCATCCATTTTATTCGTTTCAAATGATTTTCGATTTGCCGATACTCTTCCTCCTTTAATGGATTGGCTGACGGAATATCTTATAAAAGGGTGTGTATGTGAGTAAACTTTTTCTACGTTTTCTTTTTCGGTGTGTTTCGGAACCATCCTAGTAGTTTCATACCATTCGTCTTCTACCATTTCTTTATGGTAATGATATAAATAATACCAACCCTTTAAAGATAAAGAAGGAGCCGTTAGATTATTGGAAATATTCTGAAATACAACTTTTTTCATAACTTTGTTATATTTTATCAAACAAGCTCCGAGACATAACGTATCTCTTTTAGCGTAAGGTTCCCATTCGTGTCTTAACGATTCCCAATTATCTTCGGTGTATTTTGCAATATTAATATCGGTGATCTTTCTCAAATTCATCGGTAGATTAGCTTAATTTCCCCATGCCGCCAAACTAGATTTTTCATGTTGATACGAACATATGAAATTAATATTTTGCAAATAATTAGAGTTGCCCATTATTTGTATTTGTCTTTTCCATTTTTTCTGTAAATATTCATCGGTGAATGAATTAGTTAAAGGTAGAGACAGAATGCCTCTAGCTGTTACTAGTGGGCATTGCGTTAGTTTTTTCGCATTTTTAAGCACGATCCAATTATCAAAACCGCTACCGTTATGAGAAATTAATGTTATTCTTTTTTGATCTATTTTTCCTAAACGTTGTAACATAAATATTTCTACTATATTCATTAATTTATTATAAAATTCTTCTGGTACACTATCAGTGGGATTTAAATGTGGAAAGTTATGTTTTATTCTGTCTAACGTTTTTCTTAGTTTTTCTAAATTAATTAACGTGCAAGAATAAGGATTGGCTTTATTCGTTTCTTTTTCGCTATAGGTTTCGCAATCCCATGCGTATAAACAATCATCGTGAATTGTTGGAAAAACGTTTAGTTTTAGAGGTGAAACTTCCGTTACCGCATTATCATCTTTACAAGTTCTCCATACTTTTTCATCGTAAATATCTTCTATTTCTTTAATGCCTAAGGTTTTGTTATTTCTTCTAATGAGACAGAAATGCGATTTATGTAAGTAAAATACCCAATCTAATTCCTCGGATACTTTCTTTGGTTGAAAATGTCTATGTTTGGGCATATAAATTTGAAAATAAGTATTAAATTTCACAGATTCTAGCAGTTGTCATAACTCCTTTTCTGTTTGATTTTGAAAAACTGTTGTTGAAATCTTGAAATTCTTTTGTGTAGTCTTCGTTAAAAACACGATTTATGCACTTTACAAATCAGTATCCATCGCTCGGTATATAACAATTTATACCGCTATATTCATTGATCTTTTTAGTAGGGTAACACCACTACCCTTTTTTGATCTTTTTATTTCTTTGAAGTTGTTTCTACGTAAAATGATTTTTCCTGAGAAATACCAATCAGAAGCATCCGATTTTACATCCATAGTTGCGAAGAAATTGTGAAAAGTTTTGGCATTAAAGCCTACAAATTGCATTTTTTGTTTGTGTTCTCCATCTTGAATTATCTCTCCATCTAATTCAATTTGTCCTTTAAATGTATCAAATTTGTCAGAGATAAGGTTAATAATACTGAAAAAAAGTTCATTTGATATGAATGTTTCATCGTCTAAAATTTCAATTTTATTTATATTTTTAAGCAACTATTTTTAACTAGGAATTTTTAACTTTTATTGATGATATTTGTACATCAAATTTATCTAAAATTTCATTGAATTTTTCTAATTCTTCAATGGTTATGTTCTTATCTTCTCTCGATCTTTCGAAAACAAATGAATAATTTATTAAGATTTGTATTTAAAATACATTTTCTTTTTATAATGAACTTTCTGTTTTGATGTAAAACCTAAAGTAATCAATCCACAAGATGAAGTTTGAACGGCAGTGAACGCGACTAATACAGTTAGGACAATTATTGGAAGCATTAATCCACCGGTTACGGCTGTTGCCACCGTTATCCCTACTGTTAGAACTGTGCTTAATGTTTTGAAAGCAGAATCAATTCTACTCCATGTTTTTCTACATTTGTTGAAGTGTTTTAGTTTTTCTTTTAGTTCATTTTGTTTTTCTATCATGTAGTTTTGTCTGCTTTCTAGTTCCATTTTTTAGGTAATTAAATTAAGTGAACTTCTGATAAAGCTGCTACGTCTTAACTATCATCAATAACAACTTTTACAGTTACTAATGATATTTGTTCTTTCGAATCATTAATCTTATTCAGATGAACTGAAAATTTTGGTTTAGTAATAGAGATTGATATATTAACATATACATCATCATCTCTTATTGCTGGTATCAAAAATGTTTGTTTTTGTTGACTTTTATGAATATCAATTGAGATAAATATATCATTATTAACAAAATATAGTTTTACGTATTCAAAGTCTGTTGCTCGTAAAAACTGATAACTGATTGTCCTTCCTTCTTTTTGTGGTTCTGGATTTCTAATAATATTCATTGATGGTGGAGTTTCCGTTTCCAATATCATATCAAAATGTAATGTAAGAAAAATATCTTCATTATCTAGTATGATTAACATTCTAAACCTATCTATATATTTTCCACTCGTTTTAATTTCATACAAGTGATTAACCTTGCTGTTTTCGTCGTTAATGTCAAATTCTTTAGTTTCTACATTGTCTCTACCATCGATAAACTGAAGAACTTTACGAGCGGTAAATAATTGATTAGATGAAAATGTGTTTTGTCTGAAGAATATTGAATCAACTTTTACCTGAATAGGAAAACAAATTTCAATTAAAAATTTTCTTCGGAAATAAAAATATGATGGTTGATCATTAACATCATGAAATATGTAATGGGGGTTAATAGCTGAAGGATTAATCATCTTGTATTTGCTGTAAATCCATATTTTTTATATTCACACTCTTTTGATCTATCAATATTATCAGTAATAGAAGCATCTTTATCACCCAAATTTCCAAATGGAAGATTGAAATAATATGATTTACTTTCTAATGCGACTATATTTTTGTCCTGTTTTAAAACTAGGTTATTAATAGTGGTTATCTGAATAACATTATCATCAATGTTTTGTATTTGTTGTTGAATATAGGTTTTAATTTCGCTGTCATCAATATTTTGTATTTGTTGTTGAATATAAGTTTTGATTTCGCTATCATCAATATTTTGTATTTGTTGTTGAATATAGGTTTTGATTTCGCTATCATCTATGTTTTGTATTTGTTGTATAATATTTCTTAGTTCTTTTTGTAATTCACTGTTAAGTTTAGTTTCCAGAGCATTTAATTCCTGTTGAAACGTATCTTCATTTTCATCTGGAATGTTATCTATTAATTGTTGAATGTCTAATTTTTGTTTTGAAATCTTATCCTCTAATTTAGATATTAATGAAATTAAAATTTGTAACTCAGTTTTGTTCACTACGTTGACCAATTCTTTTTGAATAAAACTTATTAATCTTTTTACCTCTTGTTGTAGTTTAGTATCATTAACAAAATTTTTATTATTTAGTTGACGTTTGAAGAATCTTTTCACATTACTTATTTTATCTTCTAAATAGTTTTTATTTACTTCAATTGAATTTATTTGTTCCCGTAAATATTTCTTGTGAACAGCGTCATTATCATTTTCCGGTGATTTTAAATTAGTTACTTTGAAATTGTTCATATCTAAATCACCTTGAAGAGTGTCTCCGATTTGATCCACAAAGTAAGGTTTCGCTTTATTTATCCCTGCTGTTGTGTTAGGTTTTTTAGTTTCTAAAGATAAAGAACCTAATCGAAACTTGTTCGCCATTTTTATTGAGTTAAATTTATTACAATTTCTTACAACTGTTTTCCTAAACTTCATTGATATAAAACCCAAAGTGAAAGCTGACCACAAAACTTTTGTCCCGGTAATTGAATTTGAAATGTTGAAACATTTGATTGGTTGATTAGTCAATTGCACTATTTCTTCGGTGGGTTCTAATCCATAAGAATCAAAAAAATATAAGTTATTTAAAGAGTCTTTGTACAAAGCAGAATGATGAACTCCTTTTTGATCAGAAGTATGTATATTTGTTATAGCGTAAAACTTACCTTTCTTATATTTGAGATCATTTATTTCATCTCTCATACAATAATAAAACGGTGATATATTTAACTCATTCACCCAGTTTGTGGTTGTATCGGTTCCATATTTATCGAGAAAGATATTCATTTTTAAAAGTCGGTTTTTTGAAGTTCGTTTTGATAAAACCTACCTATAATTTGTTCTGTCTTGATCAATTAATTTATATGTTGGAGGTTCTGTGGTGTTTACTTTATCAACGATGAATATTTCGTTTGTCCAGTATCCAATGTAACCTTTTTCGAATTTGCTTTTATATTTGAAAATACGAACTCGATCTCCGATTTAAATTTGGGTTTAATATTTAAATTCTTTATTTCATTTTCGTAGTTTTGTTGTGCGTTAATTGACTTTATAATATTTGGATTATTTGAGGCTTGTGTTGGTGTGACACCTATAGATGAATGAATTTTGTTATTGTATTCATCTACACCCTATGGTAATATTTTATGCCATTTTTGGGATTTCAATTCCGTAAACTTTTTGAATAATTTATTTTTTAGAGTCCTGTTAAATCTTTCTATTACTACAGCTTTACCTTCATTATGCGTGCTGTAAATTTCAAACCCAAGTGATTTCATATTTTTATTATAAAATTCACTTCCTTTATCTACCCACAGTTTTTCTGGATGTCGGTTATAATCCTGTTTTGTTTTTCAAAGGAATAACCCATGTATATCTCGTATACAAATCTATAACTGTTAAGCAATATTTATCTCCTCTTTCAACTGGCATATTAATCAAATCGGCTGACCAAATTTCATCTTTTTCAAACACTTAAACTTTTAAAAAGTTTTTAGTTTTTCTAAATTCTTTATGAATTTCATCCGCTAATGCCATACCCAATTTCATCTTTGCTTTTAACTGTTTTATGATCAGAGCCCTTTGCATTCTCTCTTTGAAAGTTGGATTTGGAATATTTTCAAGTTCGATTATTATTTGTCTGTCTGCTTCGTGTCTGAAGTTTATGTCTTTGTTTCTGTATAGTATGTCGTGTTAAGCACAGCGGCGTCAACTCTATTGACTGGTTCTTCGCCGGGTTTGGGTTTATCGTTTTCGTCTAATCGCAGATCTAACCTGGTACCTGGACCGGTGTAATTATGACCGGGAAGATGTTTTTCTCCGGGATATTTTGCCCATGGAAATCCAGGAAGAGAACCCAATGATTTTTGTATATCTGAACCAAAATAAGTTTTTGGAGCGTGAGCGATAATCATATTTATCCTATAACTTTAAAACCTTTTCCTTTCCTTTCTTCTAATCTCCTGTTTCGCAGATCTCTTATTAGTTGTAATTCTTTCAACTCGTTAGGTTGTTTCACTGTGTCGCTTATACTCTTTCCGGCTTGCGCGATTGAGCCGATGGCTTTCGCTTCGGATTAAATAAGTGATTTGTTGTTTGAAACAAAGCTAGCTACTTTTGGAATTATTGTTTTACCTAGAGGAAATATTGATGAAAAGATACCGTCGCCCGAATAATCTTCGAATTTGTGTTGTTCGTGTTTTAGAATTAAACTCATGGTGAAAATGCAACCAATATATAAGCTCCCAAAAAAGGCCTAAATTCCCTACATTTCATAAATTCTTACAGCAAAACATCCTACATTTCATAAATTAAAAAAAAAAGACCTATTCACCAAAAAACACCTTCAATCAATTTCCTACATTCCATTTTTAGTCTAGAAACTTCTAGAAGGGAGATAACTCTTTTTTGGAAAAAAAAAACAGACCACAATTTTTTGGTTGAATTAATTCATTTAAAATAGGATGAGTTTAATTCTAAAACACGAACAACACAAATTCGAAGATTATTCAGGCGATGGTATCTTTTCTTCATTATTTTCTCTAGGTAAAACAATAATTCCAAAAGTAGCTAGCTTTGTTTCAAAAAACAAATCACTCATTTCAACCGGAGCGAAAGCCATCGGCTCAATCGCGGAAGTGGGAAAGAGTATAAGCGACACAGTGAAACAATCTAACGAGTTGAAAGAATTAGAACTAATAAGAGAACTTCGAAACAGGAGATTAGAAGAAAGGAAAGGAAAAGGTTTTAAAGTTATAGGATAAAAATGATTGTCGCTCACGCTCTAAAAACTTATTTCGGTTCAGGAGATATACAAAAATCATTGGGTTCTCTTCCTGGATTTCCATGGGCGCAATATCCCGGAGAAAAACATCTTCCCGGTCATAATTACACCGGTCCAGGTACTAGGTTAGATCTGCGATTAGACGAAAACGATAAACCCAAACCAGGGGAAGAACCAGTCAATAGAGTTGACGCCGCTGCGCTTAAACACGATATTTTATACAGAAATAAAGACATAAACTTCAGACACGAAGCAGACAGACAAATGATAATCGAACTTGAAAATATTCCAAATCCAACTTTCAAAGAGGGAATGCAAAGAGCATTAATCATAAAACTGTTAAAAGCAAACTGTTATGAAACAATCTAACCGACATCCAGAAAAACTGTGGGTAGATAAAGGAAGTGAATTTTATAACAAATATATGAAATCTCTGGGATTTGAAATTTACAGCACGCATAACGAAGGTAAAGCTGTAGTAATAGAAAGATTTAACAGGACTCTAAAAAATAAATTATTTAAAAAGTTCACGGAATTGAAATCCCAAAAATGGCATAAAATATTACCAGAGGTTGTAGATGAATACAATAACAAAATTCATTCATCTATAGGTGCCACACCAACACAAGCCTCGAGTAATCCAAATATTATAAAGTCAATTAACGAGCAACATAAGTACGAAAATGAAATAAAGAATTTAAATATCAAGCCCAAAATTAAAGTCGGAGATCGAGTTCGTATTTTCAAATATAAAAGCAAATTTGAAAAAGGTTACGTTGGATACTGGACGAACGAAATATTCATCATTGATAAAGTAAACAGCACATCACCTCCGACTTATGAATTAATCGATCAAGACAAAGAACAAAGGAAGGTTTTATCAAAATGAACTTCAAAAAAACCGACTTTTAAAAATGAATGAATTTCTCCAAGATGAAGAATTTGATAGAAGATTAAGAGATGTAGACAAGCATTTACGCTTTCTTAAATTTAGATTTAAATGCAAATTTATGTTCAAATGTTTTTGAATGTGTTTTATCAGAATGTAATACAATTTTTTTCAAACACAAACTACGTATATATTTCATCAATTGGGTTTTCAACAATACTCCTAAAAAAAACCGACTTTTAAAAATGAATGAATTTCTCGATAAATATGGAAGCGATACAACCACAAACTTTCAACTTATGAGATGGGCGAATGAGTTAAATATATCACCATTTTATTATTGTATGAGAGATGAAATAAATGATCTGAAATATAAGAAAGCTAAATTTTACGCTATAACAAATATACACACTTCCAATCAAAAAGGAGTTCATCATTCTGCTTTGTACAAAGACTCTTCAAATGACTTATATTTCTTCGATTCTTATGGATTAGAACCCACTGAAGAGATAATGCAATTGACTAATAAACCAATCAAATGTTCTTCCTTTCAAATTCAATTACCGGGACAAAAGTTTTGTGGTCAGCTTTCACTTTGGATTTTATATCAGTTGAGTTTGGGAAAACAATTCGAAGAAATTGTAATAAATTTAACTCAATAAAAATGGCGAATAAGTTTGGATTAGGTTCCTTATCTTTACAAACTAAAAACCTAACACTACAGCGTGGATAAATAAAGCGAAACCTTACTTTGTGGATCAAATCGGAGACACTCTTCAAGGTGATTTAGATATGAACAATTTCAAAGTAACTAATTTAAAGTCTCCAGAAAACGATAATGACGCCGTTCACAAGAAATACTTACGGGAACAAATAAATTCAATTGAAGTAAATAAAAACCATTTAGAAGATAAAATAAGTAATGTGAAAAGATTCTTCAAACGTCAACTAAATAATAAAAATTTTGTTAATGATACTAAACTACAACAAGAGGTAAAAAGATTAATAAGTTTTATTCAAAAATAATTGGTCAACGTAGTGAATAAAACTGAGTTACAAAATTTAATATCATTAATATCTAAATTAGAGGATAAGATTTCAAAACAAAAATTAGACATTCAACAATTAATAGATAACATTCCAGATGAAAATGAAGATACATTTCAACAGGAATTAAATGCTCTAGAAACTAAACTTAACAGTGAATTACAAAAAGAACTAAGAAATATTAAACAACAGATACAAAACATAGATGATAGCGAAATCAAAACCTATATTCAACAACAAATACAAAATATAGATGATAGCGAAATCAAAACCTATATTCAACAACAAATACAAAATATTGATGATAGCGTTATTCAACAACAGATAACCACTATTAATAACGAAGTTTTGAAACAGGAAAAAAATATACTCGCATTAGAAAAAAAGTTTCTCAAGAAAGAATCATATTATTTTACTCTTCCATTTGGAAGTTTGACACGTGACGATGCTTCTATTACTGATTATGATGAAAGAACAAAAGAGTATGAATATAAAAAATATGGAATTACGGCAAATATTAGAATATATAAATATAGGGATGTTAATTATCCCTACAGAATGTTTAGTGATGATTATTCTGCTTTTATTTTCCGAGCAAAACTTTTAATTGAAATAACTTTCCCTTTTCAGGTAAAAGTTGATTCAAATATTCTTCAGACAAAACCCAGGATTTTCATCTTATTCTCAATTTAACGCTCGCAAAGTTCTTCAGTTTATCAATGGTAGAGACAATGTAGAAACTAAAGAATTTGACATTAACGATGAAAACAGCAAGATAAATCACTTATATGAAATTAAAACGAGTGGAAAATATATAGATAGGTTTAGAATGTTGATCATTCCAGATAAAAAAAGAAAATCATCTTTCATTTAGTGAATATCAAATGATATTGGAAACGGAAAGTCTTCCATCAATGAATATCATTAGAAACTCAATACCACAAACAAAAGATATAAGCAGTTATCAGTTTTTACGAACGACAGACTTTGAATACGTAAAACTATATTTTGCTTATAATAGTTTTTCACTCGAACTTTCCTCTACATTTGACTTATTTACCTCAATCGATATTCATAAAAGTCAACAAGATAATTTTTTTTAAATATTTTCATCAATAATTGAACGTAATGATAGAACAGAAGTTGGAGGTATATATACCTGTAGATGTATGATAAGAATCAATATCGAAAAACCAAAACTTTCAATTCATCAAAATAAGATTAATGATTCGAAAGAACAAATATCCTTAGTAACTGTACAAGTTTTTATTATTTTACCTGAAATAATTATAACAGATAATAAAAAAATACTGCCTGAGAAACCTATTGTTGATCTTAATCACTTTCCATCTTTTGCTTTATCAGAAATTCATTTAATTTAATTACCTAAAAAATAGAACTAGAAAGCAGACAAAACTACATGATAGAAAAACAAAACGAACTAAAAGAAAAACTAAAATAATTCAACAAATGTAGAAAAACATGGAGTAGAATCGATTCTGTTTTCAAAACATTAAGTACAGTTTTAACAGTAGGGATAACGGTGGCAACAACCGTAACCGGTGGATTAATGCTTCCAATAATTGTCCCAACTGTATTAGCCGCGTTCACTGCCGTTCAAACTTTATCTTGTGGATTTATTACTGTAGGTTTTACATCAAAAAAGAAAGCTTATTATAAAAAGAAAACAGAAATTTTAAATACATATCTTAATAAATTATTCATTTTTTTCGAAAGATCGAGAGAAGACAAGAACATAACAGTTGAAGAATTAGAAAAATTCAATGAAATTTTAGATAAATCTGATGTAGAAATATCATCAATAAAAGTTAAAAATTCCAAGTTAAAAATAGTTGCTTAAAAAATATGAATAAAATTGAAATTTTAGACGATGAACAATTCATATCAAATGAACTTTTTCCGATGTTATTGACCTTATCTCTGATGAATTTATAACATTTAAAGGGCAAATTGAATTAGATGGAGAAATAATTCAAGATGGAAAAAAACAAACAAAAAATGAAATTTGTAGGTTTTAATACCAAAACTTTTGTCAATTCTTCACTTCAGTGGATAATAAATCGGATGCTTCTGATTGGTATTTCACAGGAAATAAAAAGATCAAAAAAGGGTAGTGGTGTTACCCTACTCAAAAAGATAAATGAATATATCGGTATAAATTATTATATACCAAGCGATGGATACTGATTTGTGAAGTGCGTAAATCGTGTTTTAAACGAAGACTACACGAGAGAATTTCAAGATTTCATCAACAGTTTTTCAAAATCAAACAGAAAAGGAGTTATGACAACTGCTAGAATCTGTGAATTCAATAAGAAATTTAATACTAATTTTCAAATTTATATGCCCAAACATAGACATTTTCAACCAAAGAAAGTATCCGAGGAATTAGATTGGGTATTTTACTTACATAAATCACATTTCTGTCTCATTAGAAGAAATAACAAAACCTTAGGCATTAAAGAAATAGGAGATAATTACGATGAAAACGTATGGAGAACTTGTAGAGATGATAATGCGAAAACGTAAGTTTCACCTCTAAAACTAAACGTTTTTCCAACCATTCCCGATGATTGTTTATACGCATGGGATTGCGAAACCTATAACGAAAATAAAGCCATACCTTATTCTTGCACGTTAATTAATTTAGAAAAACTAAGAAAAATGTTAAACAGAATAAATAATCTCTTTCCAGATTTAAAGCCGACAGATCCCATTCCAGAAGAATTTTACAACAAACTCATGACTAATATAGTCGAAATATTTGTAGGTACAGATTGCATCGATCAAATGTTACGTTTAGGAAAAATAGATCAAAAAAGAATAACATTAATTGCTCATAACGCTAGTGGTTTTGATAACTGGATCATGATCAAAAACGTAAAAAAACACAATGCCCTTTAAAAACAGCTAGAGGAATTCTGTCTCTACCTTTAACTAATTCATTCACCGATGAAGATTTACAGAAAAAATGGAAAAGACAGAAAGAAATAAAGGGTAACTCTAATTATTTGCAAAATATTAATTTCATATGTTCCTATCAATATGAATCATCTAGTTTGGCGAAATGGGGTAATTCATCTAATCTACTGATGAATTCGAGAAAGATCGAGGATGTAGACATTGCAAAATACACCAAAGATAATTGGGAACCTTTAAGACACGAATGGGAACCTTACGCTAAAAGAGATACGTTATGTCTCGGAGCTTGTTTGATAAAATACAATCAAGCAATGAAAGAAGTTGTATTTCAGAATATTTCCAATAATCTAACGGCTCCTTCTTTATCTTTAAAGGGTTGGTATTATTTATATCATTACAATAAAGAAATGATTGAAGAAGAATGGTATGAAACTACTAGAATGGTTCCGAAACACACCGAAAAAGAAAACGTAGAAAACGTTTACTCACCCTTTTATAAGATATTTCATCAGACAAAGTATTAAAGGAGGAAGAGTTTCGGCAAATCGAAAATCATTTGAAACGAATAAAATGGATGAAATTTGTAATATATTAAAGGAGTTTATTTCACAAAGTGAAAGTATTTCACGAAGTGATAATATAATTGATTTATTCAAAGAATATAGTGCCAGCACGAAAGATAAAGCGGAGGTTCATTCGAGACTTTAAAAAATAAAATGTACTAAACTAATGGCCTTTGATGCTAACGGTTTGTACGCTTCCGCCATGTCGGATTTAGATAGCGAATATCCGAGAGCTGAAAGTGGTAGACCATTTCAACAAGAAGAAAATAAATAATTTGTCAAGCTCTTTAATGAACAGAAATTCATACCTAGAACTGCTATTTTAAAAGTCTGGTTTGAATATCCTACCAACATGTTCTTCCAACCCATACCAGTTAAAGATAAAATCACTTTCACGAATAGAATAGGTAAAAAGGAAACTGGCACTAAAATCAGGTTCAGAAATGGTTTCTGTCACGACGTTTTAACATCGGTCGATATCCAAGAAATAGTGAAAGCCGGTGGACAAATTATTAAAATATTAGATAGTATAGTTTACGAAGAAAATTTTAAAACTCCACCCTATAGAGATTATATTTTAATTTTGAGAGATCTAAGAAATAAATATAAATGAGAAGGTAATATCGTAGGTAGTAATTGTATGAAATTATTAGGCAATTCGTTGTATGGTAAATCTATTCAGAAGGATATAACTACATCGAGACATCTATGGAGTGAAGCGACTTTAAAAGCCAACTACGATTCACACGTCAAAAGCTATGGAAAAGTAAATGATAGTCAATATATAGTTGAGATAAATGAAGAAGAAAAAGAATTTATTCCTCCTCCTAAATCTACACGACTAACACCTAGTCATTTGGGATCATTCGTTTTATCTCACAGTAAAAAAAAATGAATAATTTTATTCGCGTGATAGATGGATTTTATAAGCCTGAAATATATTATACGGATACCGATAGTTTATACATTTCGTCTAGCAATTGGGATAAATTAAATAAAGCTGGGTTGGTGTCCGAAAATGATTATTGTAAAGGAAAGAATGATTACGGTGATGGTGGAATTATATTTGGTTTATATTTAGCGCCAAAAGTTAAATACAATATCATTCTAACTTCCGACGGTATTCTAAAAGAAAAGAAAACGGTTAAGGGTTACTCTAAAGATAAGATATCCGTAGAAGATTATATTCGATTAGCTAGTGGACTCGATGTAACGAATGAATTTAAGAAACCTTGGGTAAAAAGTTTCACCAATGGAGTAGTTATTCCAAAGGATGATGATAAACAAAAGAAAGTTTTTAGAAGTTATCTAAATCTCGTTAAGAGAAAAGCACCAAACAGTGAAGGAATCATGTATCCTTACAACGACAGAAAAGAATTGAACATGGATGAAAACTACGAATTTGATGATTTCGATTACCTTACTATTCAAGAAGAGAATGAAGAGTGTTAATATTTTTGTTTTAAATGAAGTTGAATAACAATTTCTTCGTTACCAAAATCTATAAACCTATTTTTACCATCTTTAATTTCCAGATTTATATCTTTAATCATAAAGGAATTAAGTGGTAAATACGTCGTTTGAATTGGTTTCTCTATAATTCTATATCCTATCGGTACAGTGGATGTTGGAAGACTGTAAATAATCTGACGTTTGTATTTATTGAAAAATCCACCGTTTATCAAATTGCAATGTATATTTATCACACCGATATCATTCTCGATACTAACTTTGTGTGGTGCTAAAGTGGATTGGGTGTATAGTCGTTTATCAAATCCTAGTAACGTATTCAATGAATTTTCTACGTTGAAATCAACTTGACTATTATTTCTTAATATCAATTTTATTTTGTTCAGATTCAAATTACCTTCGAATTCAATATTGTTTTTACCATTGACACTTCCTCCATATTCAGATAGGTATTCGTTAATGGCTATGTATTCGTAGCTTCCTGGTAGTAAGCGTATGGTTTTGAATGTAACTCCATTATCTGTTGATATTTTTATTTGATTATTTTTTTTTTCGTTTATATTTCTAATGGAATTGTAATTGGTTTTTCCATTGAGCTTTACAAACCTTTTTAAATGCATCTCTGTCCATTCCGTGATTTATCGACTGAATGATTTGAGATAAATCTTTATCGTTTAATTCAAATAATAAAAAACAATTTGCATTTTTTCTAATAAACATAGAATCCATCCCGTAAAAAGATTGGGATTGGTATATGCAGTGACAGTTGTGATGTCTTCCCTTCGTGAAGAATTCTTGTTGAACAGCTTGATTTCTTTGCGCTACGCAGTCGTCAAACAATATTAAGTTCTTTCGTTTGCTATCAATATTAGACAAGTCTAGATCATTAACATTTTTCGTACGAAAAACTTTTATATCAGTTGGTTTCTTTCCTTCGATGTAGTTATCTATGATATCTTTTATTTCCACTCCTTCTTCGTTTTCTTCGTAATATTGAAATAGGTCTTAAACATCTTTCTTTGGTAGATATTCTAAAGCTTTGAGAAATTGATAATGGGATTGCTCTGGTGTTATTGTGTAGATATATAAAGAATCGAAATCTAAAAGGTTTGGTGTTGTCAACATGTTAAAAGTGAGATGAGTTTTCCCAGAACCGGAACTACCGCATATACACATGAGCATTGGGTTATTAGGAAATATTTCTGAATGATTAAATTTTTTGCCCATTTTTTATTATTTTAATTTGTTCCAAAAATAACTCCTTCTCCTTTATACTTTGAAAGATATATTCCTTCTCCAGTGTGTATATTTTTTAAAAATATTCCATTACCCTTATGTTTGACTTTGATTTCTCCTGTGTCAATACTATCTACTAATTTATGTAATCCTTGTTTAACAGTTTTCTTGGTTGCTTTACTAAATCTTTTTCAAATTCTTTCATTGTGCCTATCATATCTCCCACTCCTGAACCTTTTTTACCCTCTGCCAACTTTTCCAATACTAAATTGTGTCTATGTTTTTCGGCTGCTTTCTTTTCTTCGCTAGCTTTTGTAGCAGCAGCTTCTGCATCAGCAGCTTTCTTTGCGCTGGCAGTTTTGACTCCAGCAGCTGTAGCACCAGCGACTGTAGCCGCCGCGGTAATACCAGCAAATATTAAATTCCGGGGAAGGGAGGGTTTGATTCTCCCAAATGTACAGGCCTAGGGTGGAGCAGACACTTTATTTAGAAATTAGGATTAAGGGTCTTGATATTGGGTTTTCTTCTGTTCTTATTCTGATCTGAAATTAGAAAAAGTATAGTATCTGTTATGTACTGATTGTTTTTAGTTTACTATGAACAATATTATCATTTAAGTTCTTATTTTTTGAATATGCAACTATCATTTTCTGCTTATAGACATGGGGGAATATCTCTTGAAGGCTCTTATAGTGGGCATGAACTATCTTGCTTGCTCGATTGCTGGTTTTATTAAACGGGACAACAAAGGGTGCTATGCCTACATTATGATGAATATTTAGTCCTATAGGTCTTGCTGTATTCAATGTCTCAATCCAATGGGCCTCCCTAGATTGACGGAATTTGGTAGTTTCATCTTCGGGCAAGTCAATTTCTATACGCTCAATTGGGATTAGGGTGAGATCGTCTATTGAATGGTCGTCGAGGTTGAAATGATTAGAAACAGGCTTGTCTTTCTTTAATTTGATGTCTGACCTATGAGCATTAAAGCGAGTTCGTAAATTATTCTTAGTTTCTCCTACATATTGTTTGGGGCATTTCTTGCATGAAATTAAATATATTACATTCGAATGTTCACATGTTAGATGTTCCTGGATCGGGTACCTTTTATTCGTAGAGTTGCTTACAAAATAATGAGTTTCTGATATAAAGGGACATGTTTTGCATCTACTGGACAAACATGGAGCACTTCTTAAACCTGGAGGTACTTCGGCATAAAGTCTGTTTTTAGCTGCTATCTGTGCTAAGGTGGAATTTTTTATGTTTCGTAAAAATCGTTTAGAGTACCCACGCTCTTTCAGTTTTGAGAAAACAATCGTACAGGCTTGGTTGAAATCAGAAGATCTTGTACAAATTCGATGAAATCGTAAAACTTGCGACTTAATTACTTTAATATCCAGTTTATTTGTTTCTGCTATGGAATCTCCCTTAAAGACTGTGGTATCGAGAAAGTCTATGCTTTTGTCACTCACGTTTGCGGTTAGTTTGATAGAAGGATGGTGGTTGTTGAGAATTTCAAAGAATTCCCAAAACTGTTCGATAGAATAAGTCCAAACCATAAAAATGTCATCCAAAAAGCGTCCGTAAAAAAGTGGGTCAAATGGACAGAGGGGCAACACCTCACGTTCCCACTCTGCCATGAAAAGGTTTGCGTACGAAGGGGCGAATCGTTTGCCCATTGCTGTCCCTGAAGTTTGTAAATATGTTTTACCATTAAATGTGAAATCGTTTCGGCTAAGACAAATCTCTAAAAGCTGTAGAATTGCATCGTCGGGTCTGTTTGGATCTGGGTTTCTATTACAAGCTTTACGAACTGCCGTTAAACCAGTAGTGTTATCGATATTGGTATACATAGAAGAAACGTCGATAGAAATTAAAATGGCATTAGAGGGAACTCGAAGATTTTTTATTTTATTGACAAAATCGGTTGTGTCTTTAAGGTAGGCGCGATGTTGGCATGCTAGAGGTAGTAAGAAATGATCAATGTATTCTGACACTGCATATGACTCACTACCACAGTCAGATATAATCGGGCGGCCTTTAGGGATTTTATTCGAGATAAACCACTCCTTGGTTGGATTCTTATGGATTTTAGGCAAAGTGTACAAATGTCTCTCGCGACAATCAGGTTTGGCAGACAGATAGTCATATTGTTTCTGTTTGAGATAACTAGTTTTGACTAAATCGGCAAGAATATTATTAATCATGTTAGCAGTTTCTTTGAAAATTGGTTTCGGTAAAATGGCATAATGTTTAGGATTATTCAGTTGATTCTCTGCTTCTGAAACGTAATCCTTCCTATTCAGAATGACACAACATGAACCTTTGTCACTCTTTTTAATAACAATGCTATCGTCTTTCTTAAGTAAGTTTAACGCTTCACGTTCCACTCGTGTGAGATTAGGCTTTTCGTGTGTTATGGAAAGGTTCACTGTTTGGCTATTCATACTAGCAAATGCTTTCAATATTTCAGGATGGATGGCGGCCTGAGGGGGTGTCCACGTGGATTTAGGAATAAACATTGTTCTAGCACCACGTGGGGGGTGGTTTCGAAAAAAATATGTGCAGCTAAGATTTCGTTGAAATCGTTCAATGGATGGTCGGAGATAATTCAAGTTAGCTATCTTCGGTGTGGGAATAAACTTAAGTCCACGGTCTAAGATTGAATGCTGAAGGGGTGTGAGAATTTTGCGGCTCAAGTTAACTACAGTTTGGCCTAGCGGTGGCCTCTCAGTATTTTTATCCCCAGTAATTAGTTTAAAGACTTACTCGATGCTTGAAGCTGGTGTATCCAAAAAAAATAAATGCTGTTTGCTGTTTCTGGAGACCAATGAAGATTATCAACTGTTTCGAATTCTTCTTCGTAGGGTGGTAAGATTGTTGCGCTGTTGATACTGGACTCCATCATCATGTTGTTGAGGGTGCTGAGGTTCTGTTGTGCTTTCTTCGAGATTTTATTTGAAATGGGTATACATGTGAAGAGGATCTTGGAGTTTGGGAAGGTTTTGTTGGCTGTGGCGATTAATTTCTGGGCTTGGTTAAAGGAGGTCTTTGGTATCTGATCACGGTTGTTGAGGCCTACATGAAGAATAATGGTAGTAGGTTTGGGATCATGGTCGTATGATTCCAGGATTGACTGTATGATGATCCAATTATTAAGGTTGATTTCTTTAGAACAGGTAGTTTCCATAATGATTTGTCCTTGGTTTGGTGATAATACGGTTTGGTAGCGGATATAATGGTCGTCGACGGTGTGATTGGTACTGGTTTGGTAGTTGTTAGAATTGTAGCATTGGGAACGGACTGGGATCTGGTTCGAGGAGGGGAAGGTCTGGATACACGTCTCGACTTGGATGGAGACTGAGGGGTGGTTTGCTGGTCCAAAAACGCACAGAAGGAAGAAAGGTTGGCGGATCCTGGATCACGTGGTGAAGATTCAGATGGTGTGGAAGGGGAAGACGAGTCTGAAAGTGAAAAGAGAAGTGGTGTGCCCTCTCTACGAGAGCGTTTTTTTAGTTATAGTGATTTTTTTACCGTTGAAAGTTATTACAGTTGGGGAATCTGTTTCAACAGCTTCTATTATTTTCATAACTAAAGTTTCTGGTTTCATTTTTAAGAGTGTATTTTTTACTCAATTCTTATCATTCTTCTATCTGCTATTTTAATTAAATGTTTTGCTTCTTCCAATTATAAACAATAACCTGTTACATCTCCTTGTGTTTTTTCAATATGAATATTTATGTTCCCTCCTGTTTTGAAAAGATCTTCTTGGTGAGCTGATAGATCAAAACAGAAGATTGGATGATTAAGTGCAAAATCTACATATTCAAACTGAGGTAGATTTCCAAATAATTAACACATATTTTTATAGTTTCTATACAATTCATTATAATCCTTTGTGGTTGGATTAATTGTTAAAGGTTGGTTAGGATAATTATCGTTGTTTAATCTTACTTGAACTTTATGGATTAAAGGATTTTGAGTTTGGTTCATTGCCACTTTAAAGACATTATTGTTATTCGTTTGAGATTCTGGTAAGTTCTTGAAACCAACCATTAAATATCTCACTGTTTAATAGTGTTAATGATTGGCCACGTGGTGGATTTTCCCGTTAAAGTCATGCTACCTACCGTGTTACGATGCTATTTCAATATCTTTAGTTAACGAGTTGAATGTTCTCGTTTCTACTTCAATTGATGGTTTTATTACGGGTATGAAAAGTTGGAGATTCGTTATTTCTAATTTTGCATCTGAACCATTCTCTCCAAAAAATATCTTATCATCGTTGATTTCTCTTTGTAGATGAATTATATATGGTAACCCTATGGAAACTTTTTTATGTTCGAACAGACCGAATAAAGGATATAATTTCCAATTTAAGTAATTACCCCACATATTATTCTCAACAATATTATTGTACTGAAGTACTCGTTTTTCAAATCCATGATTAGCTGCTCGTGCTACACTTTCTATTGTGTTTCGAGCAACAACTCTCACTCTAGCTAAATCAGCATCATTTGCAACATTTCTTACCGGTTCTTTTAAAACACTTCCATCACCAACATCGGGTATCCAACCTGAGACTGAATCGAAATCTTTAGGATATAAAACTGTTTTCAACATTGTGTCGAATTCCCCAGGGTGTTTGATTGTTTCTATCGGATTTGAACCAGCTTCCAAAACCATCTCGCTAAATAAAGATGGAAAGAAATTGTTTTCTAACGTTGTATTAGTTTGAGGAACTTGATTCTGAGTTCCATCTTTAATTTTGAAATCGCATCTGAAATAAGCATCTGAAAGAAGCAACCAATTCGATTATGAATTTATTTCGAAGGTAATTCTACCACCTTCATTCAATTGGGATTTAGAACCAACAGTCGGTGAGATGATAATATAATCCTCTTTTTTCTTGTTAAATGAATAACGAATCGGATCGTATAATTCGTGATTACAAACACTCACACCAAGTTTCGTCAAAATCCATCAAGAATTGTGCCTTTTAGAGTGTTTACAAGCTAAAATTGAACGCGTTTTCAAGAACAAGGGCAATAACTCATACTAAATATTTTTCAATTTTTCTGTTTTTCAATACGTTTTATCCGTGGGTGATAACCAACACTCATGCCAAGTTTCGTCAATATCCGTCAAGAATTGTCCCTTCTAGAATGTTTACAAACTAAAAATTGAACGCGTTTTCAAGAACAAGGGCAATAACTAATACTAAATATTTTTCAATTTTTCTGACTTTCGATAGGCTGTATCCTTGGGTGATTACAAACACTCACACCAAGTTTCGTCAAAATCCATCAAGAATTGTGCCTTTTAGAGTGTTTACAATCTAAAATTGAACGCGTTTTCAAGAACAAGGGCAATAACTCATACAAAATATTTTTCAATTTTCTGATTTTCGATATGGTTTATCCTTGGGCGATTACGAACACTCATACCAAGTTTCATCAAAATCCGTCATGAATTGCACCTTTTACAAGCGTTTCAAGAACAAGGGCAATAACTCATAGTAAATATATTTCGATTCGTCTGATTTTGAATAGGGTTTATCCTTGGGTGATTACAACAACCATACCAAGTTTCGTCGAAATCAGTCAAGAATTGCGCCTTGTAGAGTGTTTACGAGCAATTGTGGACGGACGGACGGACCGACGGACCGACGGAAAGAGGTGACGACAAAACAGTTAAAGGGATTGCAAAGAGGTTTTCTGAAAATTTTATGTTTATGAAAGCACCAATTCAATCAGACCTCTGTGGTTCCTGCAATTCCACTAAAACTAATTAAGTGTTTAATGACGTCACTAATCGTAAAATATGCTGTGTCACGCTGTGTCACATAAGGACTCCGCGATTTTTGATGTCATAAGACGTTTATTTATTATTTATTACAGGAACCACAGACGTCTGATAAATAAAAAAAATAGAATGAATCATATTGATCAAATTGATGCTATCTTTGCTTTATAGTAGCTATAAATAAATTTATAAAACCCCTAACCTTTACAAGTAGTACAGAAAACGCAAGCCTAACGTATACAAGCAGTAGCTATCAATAAATTAAAGTAATTATGTTTTCTATATAACGTTCAGCTTTTGTTATCTCCCTGTCTTACAGAGAAAGACAAATTTATTGAAAAGATGGCCACATCAGGAATAATTAAACGCGATGTAGAATTACCAACAGATGCCAGAGGCAAATTGGCTTTTGGTCTGTACAATGTTTTTACACCTGAGGTAAGGACCACAGTTTATAATGTTAGTGGTAAGGGTGATTTAAAGGTAACGTGCTATTCAACTGAAGGCACTGGTACAGAGGTAATATAGCAGCGTTCAGTAGAAATCGTACTGTGACGCAGTTCGACTGTCGAAAAACTGGTCCAAGAATGAGAATAAAAATTCTTAGCAGTCGACCATGATATTAGCACGATTTGTGGCCCCCGCTCCCAAAAAGAGAATGGTAGGGGTCCCCCACTCATTTTTAAATTTCTTACCTCTTTTACATGTTCAATAACAAATCTCGCTCAACAAATCTTGCGAAACATTTCTCCAAATACATGTCGAATTTTTTTGAAGGTCATGATTATGACGACAGATGTCGTTGTACAACCAACATAGAATAATTCAACATTTGTTATTGAAAATTTGTATTTGAAAATTTGTTGGTAGAGTTTTGTGTTTTGTAAGATATGTTGAGCAAGATTTATAATTGAAGATTTGTATTTGAGGATATTTTTGGCAAGAATTATAATAATTCAATAATTGGAAAACCGAATGATTATCAAAGAATGTTCATTTTCAGTACAAATTATGAGTTTTGTTTACAAATGTCAATTTTCAATGACAAATGTTGAATCAAGCGTGCAAATTAAGAGATAAGAATTTAGAATTAAGAATTAAGAAATAGCAATGAAGAACATTGTCATTCCACCTTCCATATTTAAGGAATGCGAGGATTTCATCCGGATATCAGAGGAACGTGGCTACGTAAATATTGGTGAAGGAGTGCAGTCGAACGACAGAAATAGCGCCCGATGTATCTGGGAATCACATGAGGAAGCAGAAAAAATATGGCAGAGAATTAAAGATTTTATTCCTTCAGAATGGAAAAAACGACCTGTTTTAGGACTCAATGAAAGGTAGCACACCTTTGATTCATATTTTTTATTTTCTTTAATATTGCTATTCCAGTTTCAGCCGAACTGGACAATCACATGTTATTCACATTATTATGTGGGGGTGGAACAATCTAGTTAATATATAAAGTTAAGTCGTTGAACATTTTACCTCTTTAACTACGGCCCTGAATATACGATATACAATAGGGACTCTAATTTTAAAAAAAAGCCTTTCATGCATTCATTATTTTTCGTTTATTCAATTTCAGATTAAGATTTTTAAGATATGACGATGGGGGATATTTTGAGCCACATAAAGACCCATACTATAAGAGAGAGAACGGAGAGAAAGGTTTCATTACTATACTAATTTATTTAAATGAGGTAGGACTATTTCCAGTGTTACATAGTTTCTTTCTACGCTAGAACGAGGCATTTGACTTCAAAGCTACAGTTGCTGGTGTATTACTAACACAAATCAGAATTTCCCTCAAGAAATTTTACGGTCGTCATCATGACCTCATCGAAAAATATCATCATCCGTCCGTTTATGGTATTATCAGAGATGTTTTTGTTTACAGGAGTACTACCTCTTAGTATGGACAAAAAAGTATCAAACTTGGTCAATAAGTATATATATTCATCAGTTAGACCAGGTGCTATGACTAAAGAATAGAATCTGTACATAACACTATATATCCATTAAACTAAGTAATTATTGAAAACAGCCTCTTAGCTGTGGACTTGAATGGATTGGGTTGGGGTGATTGGGTACATGATTTCAATCAGAGGCGTATTTAGACAGTAATTTTTAGGCAATGGCCTGCCCTCACTTCCGGGGGCGCTCGGATGTAGCAGACACAATTTATCTATTAGTCTCATTGGTTATAATTTTCAGGGATTTGACGGAGGATCAACAACGTTTTTATCGAAAACGAATGAAGAAGAAAGAGTCGAATTTGTTCCCCAAACAGGTAAGTAATTAGTTAGGAGGTGTTACTATGTTGTAGACACAGAATATGAACTTTGTTTCAATTGGTACCAATAATGTTAGATATAGCCAACATGGTTAGGCCCTTTTTGGCAAGCTTAATGAAGCAGATAGTGTGTCTGGCAAGGGTTAGATTGTCCAGTATTTTCATACAGTATGATGTTCTATCTTGGTCAATTTGGTCATAGAAAAGTGTTGGGTCAACCTTTGTGTGTGTCTGTCGAGCATATTGTAGTGTGTAAAATAAACGTTGTTTCGAGTGGTAATAGTTTAGTTTGATCTAGCCAAATTTTTTAGGCCTTTTTGGGAGACAAATACAGCAGGGCAAGTCTGACCCATTGTTTGTCCAATGTGAATGTATGAATTACCCTGAAATATGTTGTATGTGGTACAAAATGTATATTTTATCCAGGGTATTTTTTACTTTGGGATCCCCAGGGTCTAAAAAGAGCGGGGTGTATTCGGTGTCCAATACTTCTCGGAATATTTAAAACTTTCAGATAGATTTTGGTCTATAGTTTTTATAAATTTGACCTGCAAAAAAAAATAATGTCCTTGTTTATTTCAGGAACAATATTAGTGTTTCAACATGATATTCGACATGAAGGCTCAACATTAATAAAAGGTAGAAAATATGCCTTGCGAACAGATGTGATGTTTGACAAAAAGAAAAAGGCCAATGGACAGCCTTTAACGTCAGTCTAGACCAGACGTTTTCATTCTGGGGTGAATAATTTTGTAATTTTCGGGGGTAATGAGGCGCTTTGTAGTCTAGCATAAATTTTTTGTATCCTCCTGAAAGAGGTTTCGTTTCCTGGTAAGATTAAAGCTACCGTAAATTTTCAAAAATCTAATTAAAACCATTTTGGTCGCCATCTGGGCAACCTATTTGATGCTTATTTGAATCTCTGCCAAATGGTTTTATTTTATTAGATCGCTAACGTTATTGTTCCTGTAGTCATAAATGCTTAGTTTTAGTTAAATTGCAAGACATTGCAAGTTGCAAATTGCAAATCGGTGCTATCAGATAAACTCTATTTTCATAAACCCTTTTAGTCTAAATAATGATTGTTAAAGGAACACGTTTGCCATTATCTAGATTGATTTGGGTCTTGAACATATGTAAATAGTCTTCAGACTATACTAGAAATACGAAAATCACATAATTCCTTCAAAAATATCACACGCAGATAATTCTGGACACACACGGATATGAAGGCTAAAATTTCCGTTTCTGAGACTAAGGTTCGATTAGTCAAACGGATGGCAAACCTGTCCCTTAAACGAGAAAAGAGGTTAAAGAACGAGTTGGCGAATTTTGAAATCACCTCTCCCACAAAGTTTGAAATTACATTCTAAACTAATATTCTGAACGTTTAAAATCTGTGACATGTTAAAATATATATATTGTTGAATTGTTTTATTGTTAACTATATAGATAAACCTAACATTACTATATTCAGAAATTACTGGTTGTTTTTATATCATTATAGCTCAATGTTTTTTGTTTAATTTTGTTTTTATTTAATAAAATGTCTAATCTAATTCTAAACTTAACTGATAAATTTACGGTTTTGTGGTGGGGCCGTGGGGGCTGGGCTCCAGCAAGTGAGAATCGAGTCCCAGAAAACCTTTCAGTGTCATGTAACAAATCAAAAAGATATAGATTTTCATACGTTTTTGGCACCACAAAATTGTCAGAAAAGAGTTCTTTGGGCCTTCAAATATAAAATATATAGAGTATTCAATCAAAACAATAACCAAACGCTACGCCCCTGCGTCGTTGCCGTCGTCGTACATTGTAGGCTCATCTTAAATCTTAAGACGACGATTTTAACTGACAATAGTTGTAAGGCCTGTAAGCTGCGCTTTCTTGACCGTCTATACCTGTAACCTATCGCATGGTTCACCGTTGATGTCAAATGCTGTCAAAAGAGGTTCCAGAGATTCAAGGTAGGCAATACCTGTCATCACGTAGTGTGGTCACCCCATAGAGTTAAAATTTATACTATGGATAACCCTTAGTCTGTCCGTTCTAGGCCCATCCAACACCTTCCTGTGACTTATCAAGTTTGTTTCAGTTTACCATTCCCAGAGCTTGCCTGTGTTGTGTATGTAGCTAGTGGCGTTTCTAGTTTTTAGTGAATTGCATAGAACTAGACTCTGGATTTCATTGGCAAACAATGGAGTTGACATTATTGACCACATAGAATATTGTATTAAAAAAGCACACAGAAATTTGGCACAATGGTTTGCTTGCGTGATCAGGTCGCTAACAATAATCTATTGATCTAAGAAGGGAGGTAAATATGTTTATTTTTAGTTTTTCTATTTTTAGAATATAATACACTATGAATAACAGGACAAGGAATAAATGAACACACGTATAAAATCATGCCAAGTATATATATATCGTACAAATAATTATCTTAGGAACACTACAACACCAAGGATCTAAATCAAATATCTGGTTTAAGGTAATCGTTATTTTTATTAGACAAAGCTTAGCGTGTTAACAAACAACCATAGTGATCGCTGGAGTCGTAGTCTTGTAAAATAACATAAGAAAGTCTAGACCACAATTAAATATAGAACTACTATTTATCATCATAATATGCTCATTCTGTCCACAGTGAACGTCCATTATTCTAAGCACAGAACACTGTATCGTTCAGAATATATTGATCCAACCAAAAATAACATGTCGAAATGTAGCTTTATGTATAATAACAGAAGTGCAAACCTAACACTATAATAAATATACAATCTTTTAAAGTTCGTTATGCTTTTTGGAAGCTCTTAGAAAACTACTGTGTGGATTTAAACAAAATAAACGCCCAATCGAAGAAAAATATGTCCTATATTATACGTTTTCTAAAGATTTCAACTAATAATAGCCTACTTAAGTCTTTATTTGGCCAAATTAATTTAAGCCGCTTAATTAACAGTTAGTACACCCCGTTTTTTAATTAACCCTTTTAAAACTATTTTACTTTGATCAAGTAGGTGCATTGATGTAGATAGCATAATTTTACAACGTTTTTGATAATGGAAACTTTGCATTATATCACTTTAAGTAGACAAGTTGAAATCTTTAAAATCAATAGGAGACATATTTCTCTACAATTAGGCGATTATTTTGCTTAAATCCTTATATTTGTTTTCTTACACCTTCCAAAAAACAAACCGGTTAAAGGGATTGTAAAGATGTTTTCTAAAAAATGTATGTGTATCGGGTAGACTGATAGCATTAATTTGCACCATTTCAATTTTCAATCTGGCGTCTGTGGTTCCTACAATTCTACTAAACTAGGCGTTTAATGACGTCACTAATCGTAAAATATACGGTGTCACGCTGTGTCACATAAGACCACCGCGATTTGTAACGTCATAAAACGTTTATTTATTTTTTTTGGAATTACAGGAACCACAGACATCTGATGTAAAAATGAATGAATCAAATTATTCTATCATTGCTTAATAGTAGCTATAAATAAATTTATAAAACGCCTAATGTATACTAGTAGCCTAGTACAGAAAACGCAAACCTAACGTATGACAAGTAGTACAGAAAACGCAAGACTAACGTTTGGAAGTAGTATCTATCAATAAATAAAGTAATTATGTTTTCTTTATAACGTTCAGCTTTTTAGTTTTTTGTTATATCCTTGTCTTACAGAGGAAGACGAATTTATTTATAAGATGGACAAATCAAGAATAATTAAACGCGATGTAGAATTACCAACAGATGCCAGAGGCAAATTGGCTTTTGGTCTGTACAATGTTTTTACACCTAAAGTAAGGACCACAATTTATAATGTTAGTGGTAAGGGTGTTTGAAAGGTAACGGAGCACAGGAGAAATATAGCATCGTTCACCAGAATTCATACAGTGGCTCAGTTCGACTGTCGAAACACTGGTCCAAGAATGAGATTAAAACTTCTAAGAAGAAATACACCACAAGAAGCCACTATATCATGCAATTATCCTTACCAAAGAACGTGATCCTGGCCCGATTTGTGGCCCCCGCTCCTAGCCCTGTTACGGCTCCCCCACTCATTTTTAAATTTCTTACCTCTTTTACATTGAGATAGAATTGATTGCCCCCTTCCCTTTTAAATTTCTGTGGGCAAGTAATCACCCCTCTCACCAAATGTTTCATATAAGCATTTTCTAAGTGAATACGCGTTATTTAAGAGGGTTATATTCGTCTAAATAATTTCTTGGCCAGTTGATGGGACTCATTTTTAATATATTTTGTTTGAAATCTCTTGTAAATGAACAAATAGTTTGGTGTCACTTTAATGCGTTATTAACGTACTCATGAGTAAATATTTAAATGGATATCTCCCTTTGTCATCCAATGTGACCTGACGTTGGGTATGCATTCTAGAAAGCGATACTGGTAAATATTTCGCTAGAAAGGGTAAAATCTAGACCTCTATATCTCTTTTAGGAATGCAAGGATTTCATCAAGATAACAGAGAAACGTGGTTACGAAGAAGCTTTGGTCAATATTGGTGCAGGAAGACAATTATTAATGACGAACGTCAGGAATAGCGACCGATGTATCGTGGATTCACACGAGGATGCAGAAAAAATATGGCAGAGAATTAGAGATTTTATTCCTTCACAATGGAATGAACGACCTGTTTTAGGACTCAATGAAAGGTAGCACACCTTTGATTCATATTTTTATTTTTTATTGCTGGAAATTCCAGTTCCAGCCCAACTGGACAACCACATGTTATTCACATTTTTATTAGAGGTGGAACAATCTCTTTAAGTACGACCCTGAATACACTATATACATAGGGACTCTGAATTAAAAAAAAATTCATACATTCATTATTATTTGTTTATTCAATTTCAGATTAAGATTTTTAAGATATGACGGTGGGGGATATTTTAAGCCACATTATGACGGATCCTATATTAGAGAAAACGGAGAGAAAAGTTATATTACTATACAACTTTATTTAAACGAGGTAAGACTATGTCCATTCCAGTGTTACAGTTTCTTTCTACGCTGATTTCTTTTGGCTGGAACGAGGCATTTGATTTCAAAATTTTACGGTCGTCATCATGACCTCACCTAAAGATATCATCATCCGTTTATGATATTATCACAGATGTTTTTGTTTACAGAAATACTACCTCTTAGAATGGACATAAAGTTTTAAGTCTCAAACTTGGTCAATTATAAGTATATTCGTCAGTTGGACCAGGTGCCATGACTAAAGAATAGAATCTGTAAATAACACTATATATCCATTAAACTAACTTTTTATAACGTGGTCGTATATTGTCGTCGCCTCTGTCCGTCTGTCCGTCCGTTCACAATTGGATTGTGAACACATAAGAGGCTACAGTTTTTATCTGATTTTGATGAAATTTGGTGTGATCATTTATATTCTTGAGATCTTGGTCAAGTTCGATGTTGATTTTTCGATGAATGATTTTTGAATTATTGCCATTGACTAAGGAAAACACGTCAAAATTTGTTTGTGAACACGAAAGAGACTACAGTTTATATCTGATTTTAATAAAATTTGGTATGATCATTTATATTGATGAGATATTGGACAATTTCGAATTTGACGAATTTTCGATGAACGGTTTTTGAGTTATCGCCCTTGACTTAGGAAAAACGCGTCAAAATTTGTTTGTGAACACAATACAGCCTACAGTTTTCATCCGATTTAAATGAAATTTGGTGTGATCATTTATAATGAGATCTTGGTCAATTCAAATTTGACAATTTTTCGATGAATGGTTTTTGAGTTATTGCCCTTGACTTTGTAAAAACGCGTCAAAATATGTTTGTGAACCTTATAGAGACTACAGTTTTCATCTAATTTTAATGAAGTCTGCTGTGATCATCTATTACAATGAGATCTTGGTCAAGTTTGAATTTAACGATTTTTCAATGAATGGAAATTGAGTTATTGTCCTTGACTTAGTAAAGTCATCCAAATTTGTTGGCAGCTTATATCCAAATTTTATAAAATTTAATGTGTTTGATTAAATCAACAATATTTTGTACAAATTGGATTTTTGGTATGATTTGACACAGATTGGCGACCGCCTTTGACAATCTGAAAATTTATCAGGGAAGTGGGTGTATTTTACTAGGCAACCACTTGTTGGATTATAAAGGTTGTATTGTTATGGCACCAGGTAAGTCCAGTGATGAACAAAGACATATTTTGGCCAGTTTAAGAATTTCATTTTAGTTAGTTAGTATAGCTTTAACGACCATGTTTAAACAGATTATGCCATAGTTGTTTTGTTTATACCTTCCTATTTTGTGTAATATTGAGCAGGAAAGACACCGGAAGTTTAAATAGAAAATGGCCATGTGAGTCCATTTTGATAGATTTACCGATTATTTTGAATTCTTTCACTACCCATTGGTTGGGTTGGGGCGATTGGGTACATGATTTCAATCAGAGGGGCATTTAGGTGGTATTATTTAGGCAATGCCCCCACTTCCGGGCGCTTGGATGCAGAAGACACAATTATTTGTTAGTTTCAGTGGTTATATTTTTTCAATTTTCAGGGATTTGACGGAGGATCAACAACGTTTATATCGGCCATGAATGAAAAAGAAAGAGTCGAATTTGTTCCCCAGACAGGTAAGTAAATTGATTAGGAGGTGTTACTATGTTGTAGACACAGTAAATTAACTTTGTTTCAATTGGTACCACTATAGCCAACATGGTTATGCCCTTTTTGGCAGGCTTAATGCAGCAGATAGTTTGTATCCAGTGTCTAATACTTCTCGGAATAGTTAGAACTTTCAGATTTTGACCTACAAAAAAACATAATGGCCCTTTAAAAAGATTGTGTGTTTATTTCAGGATCTATATTAGTTTTTCAACATGATATTCTACATGAAGGCTCAGAATTAATAAAAGGTAGAAAATATACCATGCGAACAGATGTGATGTTTGACAACAAGAAAGTTGGACAACCTTTAACGTCAGCTTAGACCAGACCAGACCAGACCAAATTTTGTAATTTTGTCCTCCGACACGAAAAATATCCCAGAGAAAATCACGAAATAATGATGATGTATAAGGGAAGGAGGGAGATGCATTCGATCAAGTATCCTCCTGAAAGAAGTTTGGTTTCGTAGTAAGATTAAAGCTACCGTAAAATTATATATATACATTTATATTGATGAGATCTTGGTCAAGTTTGAATTTGACGATCTTTCGATGAACAGTTTTTGTGTTATTGCCCTTGGAATAGGAAAAACGCGTTAAAATTTGTTTGTGAACACAATACAGACTACAGTTTTCAACTAAATTTAATGAAATTTGGTGTGATCATTCATATTGACGAGATCTTGGACAAGTTTGAAATTGAGGATCTTTCGATGAACGGTTTTTGAGTTATTGCCCTTGTCTTAAGAAAACACGTAAATGTTTGTATGTGAACACATTAGAGACTACAGTTTTCAATTGATATTAATGACAGATGCTGTGATCATGTATATTGATGCGATAATTTGGGATATTGATATTGATTTTAAAAAAATTTGGTGAAATTTCTCAGTATAAATAAATGGCAGTAAATATATATATCATTGAATTCAAACTATTAAAATTTCTTCAATATGAGAAAATTGTAAATAGTCTTCAGAAGTACAGGCACCTGTTTCTTTCAATAGTCGACTCTCACTATAATAGTATATATATGAGAAGGTGGCTAACGCTCGTCACGACCAGCTCCACTTCAGGCGATTTTCTACCATTTACCGTAACGAAACATAATCCCAACCTTATATGAATCTACTTCCGGTTGATTTGACAGTAAATATATATCGGTCAATACGATTGGTCAGCTATAATTACCTGTCGAGTAAAAACCAAAGTGAAATTAATTTCTTAATAACTAAGTAGTTATATTGGTGATTTCCATTCTTTAAAAATATATAAGTAATGAAAATAGCAACACAGTAATTTTACAGCATCATGTTCTTTACAAAATAGATAACATTCTGCCCTGAAACCCGCCAACCGGAAGTAGATACATTGAAACGATTGGTGTACAATTTTGTCGTATTTTTGTTGAACAATAGTTAGATAAGTATGAAGCGGAACATTGAAGGAGATTCTATGCCTGTTCCTTCAATAATATTACTTAACTATGTTTTTGATTTAAATAATGTATTAAAAGATTATTATCATTTGTTTTTTTTTATAATGAGGGACATGGGCATAATTTAGTAAACTTGCCTTGGTGTGTAACCCAAGTTCATTACCAGATTTACATTATTGATGTCAACTTTTTCAAAGAATGAAGACCTTTATCTCTCAGTGGGAAAAGGTGTCAGTTGAACGGAGGTGATGTAGTTTCCTTTTAACAGTTATGTACTTTGCATGGTTCTTTTCTGTATCAACTCAACATGATTTAACTGAACTATTTATTCAATTTTCAAAATGTATTATGCTGTTTTCCACAAATTACAATAACTTTGATCATGTAAAGAACAAAACCATAAAAACGCAATGAAGGTTCACATCTTCAAAGTTTATATGATCAGATTCTCTCGCAGTTATCAGTGTTATAAAATAAACTTGTTGGATATCCCCCAGTCCCTTATTTTAATTATTTAATATTCATTGGATTTTTCACCGATAGGCCTCGTTAAAGTAATAACTGTATTATTATGATATTTTGACTTTCAATTACAACAAGAATTGTACCTCTCGGGTAAAAATTGGCAAAGTTATGGCCATTTTAATTCAGGGGCTGTAAGGCTGAAGCTTTGACTGAAAATCCACACCCATCTGAAGTTGATATGTTCCAAATTTCAAGTTCATACCGTGCAAACTCTGCCTGATGCAGCACTTTTAGTCTCAGACTTTTCCCCCAAACCAAAATATAAACCATTTTCCACTTGAAATTGATGGAACTTCAAAGTCGATTGTCTCGAAAGTTTTCAAAAAATACAAATTTCTGTTTTCAACTGAAATAGATAGCAGACATTTTAACCTTCGTTTGCAACAAAAATTATACCTCTCTGGCCAAAATTGACGGAGTTATCGCAATTTTAGTGCGGGGATGGGGGTCGGCAGGCAGCCTATACATTCTCTATACAGTGTAGTTGCACAGGTTGGGGTGAAGACCAAAACTTTTGCAGGCTGCCGTTCGAAAACTATCAGAGATGGAAGGCTGAAATTTGCACTGCAGGTCCACACCTATCTGAAGTTGATATGTTCCAAATTTCAAGTTCCTACCGTGCAAACTCTGCCTGCTGTAGCACTTTTAGTCTCAGACTTTTTCCCCAAACCAAAATATAAAATATTTTCCACTTGAAATTGATGGAACTTCAAAGTCGATTTCTCAAAAGTTTCAAAAAATACGAATTTCTATTGGCCGAGTTATCGCCATTTTAGTGCGGGGGTGGGGTTCGGCAGGTAGCCGTTCGAACACTATCAAAGATGGAATGCTGAAACTGCAGGAACACACAGTTGATATGTTCCAAGTTCCTACCTATTTTTTTTTTTTTTTTTTTTTTTTTTTTTAATCCAAACTAGGTCGGAATGTGGATAATTCTTCGTAAACTTTACATTGGAATATGTCATCGGGCCCCATCAGCTGATCAAATTTTATATATGGTTATTTAGCGCCCTGTAAATTGGATAATCAATTAGTTGATATTGACTATGAAATATTGGTTAGAAATAATAACATGTATGACATTATTTTGTTGTCGTGTGGTTATTCTTGTGTTTTAATTCATTGATACTTTTTTCTTATTACCGATTGCGTTCTGTTCGGATATAGGAGTATATTTATTTAGGAAGGTAAGCACTTGATTTCCTTTTAGAAAATTGAAATATAGAATTATTCAATGTGTCTCTCGATGTTACATAACTTTTTGTGATTGTATTTGATATAATACTCCTTTTTGTCGCATATTTAGGAAAATTCAGTCTACCAATTCAGTTTCGACATTTTCTAGGGCTGATTTGGACATTGAATATTATCTAAATAGTCTTCAGAAATGATAGAAATGTACAAAAATCGCATAATTTCTTCAAAAATATCCCAAACGATGAATTTCATTTTCTATAATATGACAGTCTCCAGAAAAGAGAATAAATTTTGAAGAAATAATGTGCGCTTATGTTTATTGTTTTATCAAGCAAAGACATTCTAATACTTAATAAAGGGACATTTTTCGTAAATGGAAATTTTTTTGGATCAAATTTGTGAAAACTATACACCAAAATCTAGAGAAATGTGCCCTTTAACGTATCTAAAAATTTTAACTAAAAAAATTCAGTCGTTAATTCAGTTTGAAGAAGAAGATATGTAGATATAAATAGCATCTTTAGGAATATTTTCAGGTATAATGTACAACGTTTTTGATTATGAAAACATTTGACAAAAAAAGCGGAATGTCCCTAAATGGGCCTACATTAAAGGGACAGATTCGCCATTTTCGAGGGTTAAAAAATATCTCAACTCAAACTGGGAACATCCCGTTTTGATAAAACGGATGGCGAATCTGAAACACTACTTTTTATAACTAAGTCTATAAGAGTGTAATTTTCTATAAATAGTTGATAAATATGTTTTAAATCAGATTTTCCGACCCAAAGATTGTTCAAACATCACTGATAATATTGTAATAGCTAAAATAATTATGACAAGCCCCTTAATGCCTTAACGTTTTTAACAAAGAGCGCTTATTAGCTAGAGGCGGATGATGCAATTGAATCAAGCAATGACAGTTACAGTTCCTTTCAAAGTTTAATGAAAAGACTCTTAAGAATCACGGAAGAATTTGAATCTTCGCTCGATTATATCACATGATAACGTATTGGTTATTTCACAATGAGGCAATGATAATAACAAACTCAGAATTCATTCCTTTAATAATCGTTTTGCCAACAAATACTATGGGATATCTAGGTATGATATCGACCGGGCAATATCTTAATGTAACAAGTAACATTGTATTTCTTTGTTACCCAGAGTTGTCTGGCAGATGTTCTTTAAAGGGACAGATTCGCTATTTTCGGGCGTTGAATTTAAGTCTTGAATGTAATGATGTGAAAAGTTTTCAGAAGTACTAGAAATGTATGAAAATCACACAATTCCTTCAAAAATACTCCAAACTCGGGATTTCGATTTCTATTCTATATAAAGCCATTTTCCACTTGAAATTGAGGGTGGAACTTCAAAGTCGATTTTCTCGAAATTTCTGTTTACAACTTTAATAGATAGAAGACATGTTAAAAGTCGGAAGTCAAACGTGAAAAAAAAGCTTGGAAGTTGGAAGTCGGAATGTCCCGATCCGGCTTTCGTGATTATTAGTTATACAATATCAGATATAAGTGTAAAGTTTATCATAAGGAATTTAAATGAACTATAAACCGAGACCCATATTGACACAGGTTTTATACTAAAACTCAGAGGGACAATGTATGGTTTTATTTTAAGTAATGAAATTGGTCGGTTCTCAGGACTTTTTCAGCGGGGCATTCCATTTTGTAGCTACGGGCTTGGCTAAAGGCGATCAGAGTCTTAGATTATAATATGACTATAATATGGTAGGTTTTTAAATAACATGGATGGTTAAAGTCGAGCTCTCTATAAAAATATTTATACGACTATAGGCTAACAATGGAGTTGACATTATTGACAACATAAAATGTTGTATTACAAAAGCACACAGAAATTTGGCACAATGGTTCGCTTGCGTGATCAGGTCGCTAACAATAATCTATTGATCTAAGAAGGGAGGTAAATGTGTTTATTTTTAGTTTTTCTATTTTTAGAATATAATACACTATGAATAACAGGACAAGGAAGAAATTAACATATAAAATCATGCCAAGTAGTTATATATAGAGAGAGTCGATGCCTGTGTATATCGCAAATATGATATTCTTAGGAACACTTCAACACCAAGGATCCAAATCAAAATATCTGGTATAAAGGTAATTGTGGGACTTTGCGGTAAAGGCTAAGTGTGTTGTAACAAACAACCAAAGCGTTTATTTTGTTTAAATCTGTACAGTAGTTTTCTAACACGAACGAACTTTAAAAAGTTTACGTAAACCTTTTAAATAGTTTTGGTGCCAATCGCAGGGATTTTTAAGGGAAAACTTACAGATAAATCCAGGGACACATTCTTATAGATTTTGGCATTTAGTTTTCATAAACTTGAGTAAAAAATATTTCGACCTACGAGAAAAAAAGAATGCCCCTATAACAATTAGTACTCCCCGTTTTTAATTAACCCTTTGAAAACAAAATATTCAGTTTGATCAAATTAGATGTAAATAACATATTTAGTAATAATTTCATCTGTTTTTTGATAATGAAAATTTTGCGTACTGCCCCTTAAAAGTTTTATATTAGTTAACAAAACAGTTAAAGGGATTGTAAAAACGCTTAGTTTTTTGGAATTACAGGAACTACAGACTCTGATAAAAAATAAGAATGAATCAAATTTATGCCATCATTGCTTAATAGCATCTATAAATAAATTTATAAAGTAGTACAGAAACGAAAGCCTAACGTATACAAGCAGTAGCTATCAATAAATAAAATTATGTTTTCTTTATAACGTTCAGCTCTTTAGTTTTTTTATAACCCTGTCTTACAGAGGAAGACGAATTTATTGTAAAGATGGACAAATCAGGAATAATTAAACGCGATGTAGAATTACCAACAGATGCCAGAGGCAAATTGGCTTTTGGTCTGTACAATGTTTTTACACCTGAGGTAAGGACCACAGTTTATGATCTTAGTGGTAAGAGTGATTTAAAGGTAAACGAGTTGCTAGTTTGCAAGATTACGGAGTTGCTATTCAAGTGAAGGCACAGAGTTAAAGCAGAGTTCAACATATAAGAAGAATTCGTAGAGAGACTCAGTTCGACTGTCGAACACTGGTCCAAGAATGAGAATAAATATTCTATAGGGGAATACACCACAAGAAGCCACTATCACGCAATTATCCTTACGAAAGACTTAGCAGTCGACCATGATATTGGCACGATTTGTGGCCCCGCTCCCCAACTCATTTTTAAATTTCTTACCTCTTTTACATCGAAAAAGATTTGATTGCCCCCTTCACTTTTAAATTCATGGAAACGCCACGAAGCTGTGAATACGCTTCATTTAACAGGGTTATATTCGTCTAAATAATTTCTTGGCCAGTTGATGGGGAACAATTTTACCTATCATTTTTAAAATCCAACACATGTGGTTCTCGTGCAAATGAACAAAACATACTGTGATAGTTTGGTTTTCACTTTAAATGCGTTAATAACGTACCCCTGGCTCATGAGTAAATATTTAAATGGTTATCTCCTTTGGAATATTTGTCATCCAATGTGACCTGACGTTGGGTATGCATTCTGGAAAGCGAAATTGGTAAATATAAAATAAAAATATGATATTCCGCTAGAAATGATAATATCTTCACCTCTGTATCTCTTTTAGGAATGCAAGGATTTCATCAAGATAACAGAGAAACGTGGTTATGAAAAAGCTTTGGTAACTATCAGTTCAGGAAGACAGATATTAATGACGAAGGTCAGGAACAGCGACCGATGTATCGTGAATTCTCATGAGGAAGCAGAAAAAATATGGCAGAGAATTAAAGATTTTATTCCTTCACAATGGAAAAAACGACCTGTTTTAGGACTCAATGAAAGGTAGTACACCTTTGATTCATATTTTTTATTTTCTTTAATATTGCTATTCCAGTTTCAGCCGAACTGGACAATCACATGTTATTCACATTATTATGTTGGGGTGAAACAATCTAGTTTTAATTTAGTCGAGTTACGTCGTTGAACCTCTTTAACTACGGCCTTGAATATACGATATACATAGGTATTCTAAATTCAAGTAAAAAAAAAAAAATTTCATACATTCATTATTATTCGTTTATTCAATTTCAGATTAAGTTTTTTAAGATATAACGGTGGGGGATATTTTAAGCCACATTTTGACGGATCCTCTATTACAGAGAACGGAGGGGAAAGTTACATTACTATACTACTTTATTTAAACGAGGTAGGACTATTTCCAGTGTTACATAGTTTCTTTCTACGCTGATTTTTCTTGGCTGGAACGAGGCATTTGACTTCAAAGCTACAGTTGCAGGTGTATTTATACTTACCCAACTCTAAATTTTACGGTCGTCATTATGGTATAGTTTTTTGTTTATACTTTCCTATTTTGTGTAATATTAAGTTTTAATAGACAAGGCCCTGTGAGTCCATTATGATAGTTTTACCGATTATTTTGAATTCTTTTACTACACTTTGGTTGTGTTGGGGCGATGGGGTACATGATTTCCATCAGAGGCGTATTAAGGCAATCATTTTTAAGCAATGGCTTACTTCCGGGGCGCTCGGGTGCAGCACAATCGTATCTACGGCGGCCATTGTCGCTACGCCTGCAATAACCTCATATGCAGATGGACGAAAATCTTCTTTAATTGTTAGGCGGAAGTTACCTCCGCGACGTCTGTGAGTCAGAGACTGGTCAAATGTCAATGACGAAAGTAGTCCAATGTATCCACCAGCTGCATACGCGGTTTTTGTCAAACCGTAGATACGAATGGGATGCAGCAGATTATCTGATAGTTTCAGTGGTTATATTTTTTCAATTTTTAGGGATTTGATGGAGGATCAACAACGTTTATATCGACCAAGAATGAAAAAGAAAGAGTCGAATTTGTTCCCCAAACAGGTAAGTAAATTAGTTAGGAGGTGTTACTATGTTGTAGATACAGGAAAATAACCTTGTTTCTATTGGTAACACTAGACAACATGTTTAGGCCCTTTTTGGCTGTCTGGCAGACTTAATGCAGCAGATAGTGTGTCTGGTAAGGGTTAGATTGTCACCTTTCATTTGAAAGTATTTTCAGACAGTATATTTGATGTTCTATCTTGGTCACCTTTGGGCGTGTCTGTCAAGCTTAATGCAGTGGGTAATTTGACTGGCATTAAACATTCTGTACTTTCTGAAATGTGTCAAATAACAGGCCCTTTTGGAGTGGAGGAGTTTGGGGGCCAAATGCAGCAGGCAAGTCTGTCTGACATGGCCCATTGTTTACCCAGTAAATTACCCTGAAATATGTTGTATGTGGTACAAATCTATGTTTTATCTATTTTTGGCCCATTTCGGGATCCCCAGGGGCCAATAAGAACGGGATGCATTCAGTGTCTAAAACTTCTCGGAATAGTTAAAACTTTCAGATACGTTAAGGGACACGTTACTCTAGATTTTGGTGTATAGTTTTCATAGATTTGAGCAAAACGTTTTTCGACCTACACAAAAATAGCCCTTTTAAGGGAAATGCCCCTTTTTTTGAAGGTCGAAAAAATTTTTTGCTCAAATTTGTTAAAACTATACATATATCTAGTGAAATATGCCCTTTATCTTATCTGGTATCAGAAAGTTTTAACTAAAAAATTAACGTTAATTTTTGAACGCCAAAAATATTTAAAAATATTACGTAAGGTTTTTAATGTTTGTTTTGGAAGCTGTTAGAAAACTAGTGCATTGATTTGAGTAAAATAAACGCCTAATTGTAGAGAAATATGTCTGCCACATATTTTAAAGGTCTCAACTAATAATATCGAGCCATTATAAAGCCAAACACCAAAACTAGTTCAAACTGCTTAATTAAACAATTGGTACTCTTCGTTTTAATTAACCCTTTTAAAAAAATTCATTTTGATCAGGAAGATGTCAATAGCATACCTTAGAAATATTTTCAGGTATAATTTAGGACGTTTTTGATAATGAAAACTTTTACAAAAAAGAGGAATACCATTAATAAAGATTGTGTGTTTCTTTCAGGATCTATATTAGTGTTTCAACATGATATTCTACATGAAGGCTCAGAATTAATAAAAGGTAGAAAATATGCTATGAGAACAGATGTGATGTTTGGCATCAAGAAATTTGGACAATCTTTAACGTCAGTCTAGACCAGGGGTTTTCATTCTGGGAGGAATAATTTTGTAATTTTTTGGGGATAATGAGGCGCTTTGTAGTCTACCATAAATTTTTTGGACAATTATAATCGTTCTATTCAGCCCGGCTATATTCTCCGACACGAGAAATATCGCAGAGAAAACCAAAGAGAAAATCACGAAATAATGAGGATATGTAGGGGAAGAAGGGAGATGCATTCGATCAAGTATCCTCCAGAAAGAAGTTTCGTTTTATAGAAAATTAAAGCCACCGTAAAATTTCAAAAATCTAATTAAAATTTTTTGGTCACCATCTGGGTAACCTATTCTAGGATTTCGCTTGCTAATGCCTACTTTGAACCCCTGCAAAATGGTTGGCGAAAAGATGTTTTAATTATATTAGATCGCTGACGTCGATGTTGCTATAGTCATAAACGTTAAGTTTTAGTTAAATTGCAAGAACCACACACGTCTGAATGGCTGGATTGATGCGAATCGATGCTATCAGATAAACTCTATTTTTATAGACCCTTTTACTCTAAATTATGTTTGTTAAAAGTGACAGATTCGCCATTTTCGGGGGTTGATTTGAGTCTTGAATATATATAAATAGTCGTCAGAAGTACTAGAAATGTACGAAAATCGCACATATCACAAACTAGAAATTTCACTCACTATTTCTCTATAGCCTAATATTCTATATATCACGGAGTATCTTAAATTGACGAGTCATCATTTTAACATTCAAACGCAGATAATTCTGGACACACATGGATTTGAAGGCTAAAATTTCAGTTTCTGAGACTAAGGTTCGATTAGACAAACGGATGACAAACGAAGAACAAGCTGGCGAATCACCTCTCCCACAAAGTTAGAAATTACATAACTAATATTCTGAGCGTTTAAAATCTGTGATATTTTAAAATATATATATTGTTGAATTGTTTTATTGTTAACTATATAGATAAACCTAACATTACTATATTCAGAAATTACTGGTTGTTTTTATATCATTATAGCTCAATGTTTTTTGTTTAATTTTGTTTTTATTTAATAAAATGTCTAATCTAATTCTAAACTTAACTGATAAAGTTACGGTTGTGGTTATTGCATTAGTGGCCATTCAAAAACGTTTTAAGCTAGCCAGCTTTAAGTAACAAAGTGGTACAGGGGGCTGGAGCTTGGTCAAGCATTACATAAAAAAAAATTAAACAAATCCATATTTCAAATGAACCAATGTTATGTAACAAGAAGGGCGTACTGGCCTGTGTTACAAGATATTACCGGAGATGTTAGAAATGTACCTTTTTGCGTTTTGTAATTTTCGTGTTTTTTTTGAAGCCCAATTTTACTAAAGTGAAGCAAACTGTCTCTATTCTCGCATATCGAAGAGATTTGTTGCCAAAACTATTGAAATGGCCTTTTTGCAGGGTGGGGGTCACATCTACGAAATAATCTAACATAATAACTTATTTGACCGACATTTATATCACTGCACCAGAAAAAATCACTCGATTTTTATAAATATCAGATATATTTTAACTCAGCCCTCAGATCACTTGTATATATGTATTTTGTATTGGCTGAAAGTATATTAAGTTCTAGAAAAACCGATATATATTATGAGCAAGTTGAATTAGGCAACTCACAGTCCGCAATTTTTCAAGATGGCGGTGCCCATAGAGAGAAAGTCAAGAGTCAACGATCGATTTTCCACCGGGACTTATCTGGCAAGTCACAAAACAACATTTCGGTTTTGCAAGTTTCTCAGAAGCTAAAACATTTTTTGAATGTAAACTTTAAATTGAGACGGTACATACGTCGCGTATTTCTGGTTTAGAAAAGTAGTTCGGTTGAAGCCACGCCTCTTACATGTCGGTAAACTAAGTTCCATTTGACCATTTGAATCTTTCTCGGTAAGTAATAAACGATTTCGTTGTGTATTACTGCGAACCTCTTTACTTCCGATTTTTACAATGATCTGTCAAGTGATAATAATATTGCGATCTGACTATAGTCCTTAGCTTTAGAGCCTTTGGTCGGATATTCTGCTGACAGTTTCTTATGCATTTAATGCTAGATTGTGACAATCGGTTTATCAGTGATACATTTATTATCATCAATAATCCATTTCTTACGGCTAAGTCAGACTTTGTGAAGCTTTGACAATGTACCTTTCCACTTATTCACTTTGGTATGAATGACTTCAACTTAAACTTATCTTTGCTAAGTTTGACCACCTCTGTGTATGTTCGGAAACCCAACAAAAACACAGACAATGAATCCTTTACAAATTCACTTCAAATAAATGTTATCAATAGAAAAAATTGATTGATACATTTTTAAAATAAAATAAAATAACTTTGCGTGTTTGTCATAATTCACATGCTTTCAGTGGGATCTTTACTATAAACACGCATCGTGTTTTTTTAACATTTTATAACAATTTTATCGAACATTCAAGATGTCAGATGATATGTTGTCGCCTTTGAAAACAATCACAACAGAACATACATTATTTTCTGCCTAAAAGTTATTCACTGTGACAGCCTTTCTCACTGCGTTACCTTGACGACTGTCATGTTTTCTTTCGTCTTGTTGGTTGTCATCTGTTGGAATTTCTATTTTCAATTTCAAATACATGTCGATATAATGCAATAATGATGTTGCTACAATAACGGCCATTGATGTATCCAGATAGTTACCTATGACGTCGACAGACACAGGAACCGTCGTTTCAGAACACCTAATAGCCTTTCTATAACAGTATTTCGAGAATGCGAATGTGCATTCTGAATTGGTAATATAGGTTTATATGGCCGACACGGATATCCAGCACCGCCCAAAATGTATCTGATTTGGCGACCATCTTAGGGGAGACGGTGCTCTTGTCAAAGACCCGTATCAAGAGTAGAACCGTGTGAAGTATGACTTACATCAAAGATCGAGCGCAGCATACCTATAGTATGACTTAAGCTTGAGTTTGATTAAAGTACGGATAAAGTTCGAGGCCCTAATTGTAGTCTCCAAAGAACTTCAACTTTATTGATTGTTTGGGGGGACAAGTAATATTCGGAGGGGCAATGGTGTATGGTTTTGGATGCTTTAATGAAATTGGTCGGTTATCAGATTTTTTTCAGGGAGGATATCCAACTTTTATATAAAGGGCTGTAACTCCGTCAATATTTGTCGAACTTGTGGAAGTAAACCTACAAACCAAATTTTTTCGATAAACATAGGACAACAACTGTAAAGCAATTTTTATTTTTTTATATACAAGAAAGCATGCATTTATAATGGAAGTCAATGGTTGCTATTTTCGGGGAGTGATTTTGGGTCTTGAATATATGTAAATTGTCTTAAGAATTACTAGAACTGTATGAAAATCGCACATTTTCTTCAAATACACAACAAGAACTTTTTTTTATTTCGTTCGCAAGCTTTTCTTCTTTCTGTATGTAAGGGCATCTATAGCATGTCTTTTTGATAGTCTCTAACACCACGACATCTTTCATCGCAGCTGTGCGCATAACAGCAAGTTGATACGAATAAGCTGTACGTCCTGGACATGGACTGGATGAGTTAGTGTAATCATACCGTATTATTAAAAGATAACTTGCCAGGCAAAGTAAAAGTACGATTACATAGCAGCTTTGTTAAATTTTTTGACTCAATAAAGAGCAACGTCAATCATAATGATTTATACGTAAAGTTTCTATTCAATACTATTCAGTAAACAAAGTAAGTCCCCCACTATAAGAGCCTTCAAGAGAAATTCCCCCATGTCTATAAGCAGAAAATGATAGTTGCATATTCAAAAAATAAGAACTTAAATGATAATATTGTTCATAGTAAACTAAAAACAATCAGTACATAAGAGATACTATACTTCTCGCCCATTTGTCGAGTTATTTTTTCTAATTTCTGCTCAGAATCAGAACAGAAGAAAACCCAATATCAAGACCCTTAATCCTAATTTCTAACTAAAGTGTCTGTTCCACCCTAGGCCTGTACATTTGGGAGAATCAAACCCTCCCTTCCCCGAAATCAAAAACCGTCCATCCAAAAATCTTTAAATTCAAATTCCAATATCTCACCATTATAAATAATCACACCAAATTTCATTTAAATTGGATGAAATCTGAAGTCTCTAATTTTGACGCGTTTCGATTAAGGGCAATAACTTAAAAACCTTTCGTCGAAAATCGTCAAATTCACACCTGACCTAGATCGTATCAATTCTAATGACCACACTAAGTTTCATCAAAATCCATTGAAAACTGTTGCTTCCATTGTGCCCACTAACATATTTTGACGCAATTTTACAAGTCCAGGGCAATGACTCAAAACCCATTCGTCAAAAAATCGTAAAAATTTTATCAATTCCAATGCTCACACCAAGTTTCATTAAATCCATTGAAAATTGTCCCCCTATTGTGCAGATTTCGACATGTCAGGTCAAGTTTTACTTATCAATTCCGATGCTCACACCCAGTTTCATCAAAATCAGATGATTGTGTCCACAGGAAATGTTGACGAACGGACAGACGGATAGGGGTGATCACATTTAGGATCACATTTTCATGTGGTCAAAGAGAGTCTTCGTTTTTGATACCCGATTTTGTGAGACCAAGCTGCCATTGACCTCCGAAAATAGCGACTTATAAGTTAAATAGAAACAGTTCTGTGTCCAGAATACACTTAAGAGTGACTATCCGGCGTTTCATTCGTCACTTTCGTTCAATTCAATTTATGTATTAATGTAAAATTTCTTAAATTGAGGCCCAAAAGGCTATACGATCACACAACAGCAAATAATGTCAGAGCACCCTTAACTATAAAATCTAAATCAACAATGGACTGATGCAACATGGGTGCCGACGATATACGTGCAAAAGCGAGCGTATAAAAAGAGGTCTGAAAGATCGAAAAGATTATGGTTTTTTTTTTTTTTTTTTTTTTTTTTTAAAAAAAGCCTTTATTTCAACTCTGTACAACATACATAACATAATCAA